GCTCGAGTACCGCATGGAGCACCCTGCTCAGTGGGGAGTCTGCTGCTTCTTCTCCCTCTGTGTGCTCTCTTTCTCTCAAATAAATAAATAAAGTCTTAAAAAAAAAAAAAAAAAGACAGATGCCCATTTCAGGAAGATCAATTTCAACAGCAGTGGTAGAAACATTTTACCCAAAATAATAGCATCTGAAGAAAATAAGATTTGTGAGGTTACAATATATTTTTATATTCTATGAAATACAAATCTGAAAGATGATCCATGTAAAAAGAAAGTCTATAGGAAAACTGCAAATCATTTGACAAATACTGTTTACAATATTCCCTTCTTGAAGAGGCCCAATTCACTTGAGCATATTAAAGATGCCAGGAAATCCCATAAAAAAGAATCCTGTTAAACCATGCTCACGAAGTTTTGCATAAAGTTTAGTCGATAATTTTTTTTCTTCTTTGTATACAACACCTATTGGTAGACCAAAAAACTAGTGTCCTATTAAACATAGTTTGGGGCAAATCTCTGAAAGCACCTTGGAGAAGCTCCAGTTCTAACCTAAGCCTTCCATAGTTTCTGCTTTATGTTCCCACTGGGACTGACACTACAAAGCAATACAAATGCTATGGATGGTACATGCCTCTCGCTCTGCAGATCTGGCTTCAGGCCCAGGCATGGAGCATCATGGAAGAGGAAAGTGAAGAAAATGTAAAAAGGAAATTATTTCTGCTAAAAGCCTTCTTAAGAAAGTGGGGCCTGTTGCAGGTAACAAAAGATTGGTCACTTGCGTTTGGCTAAGCACCCTGATGGGTTCTAGAAAGATCAAGACAGGACTTGAGCTGGGTTTGGCAGTAAAGGCTAGAAAGAGCCATTATCATACTATAGTATAGAAGATTTTAAGAGTCCATCAGGTATTCTCTAAAGCTGGAGGGAGTAGAAAAGAAGATGTGGCTGAGGAAGAGGGTAAGACAATCTAACAGATGGCCAGAGGCAGACATGGCTGTCGTCAGGAAGCACAGCCAGAGTGAAATCCCTGATAGTGGGTGGTCCAACAAAATGATTTACATCTAACATGCTCGTTGTTTACTATGTAGTATAATGGGGTAATTTCTTCTTGTACTCAAGGTGGCCTGGGGCTTCTCCCATATTTGAATCCACACCACATGGAGATCAAAGCACAAATTTAGGACCTAGTGCTTTGTAAAGCTGAATACAAAAAAATCAGTTAGATCCAGGTAGCTATGAAATAAAAAATTATCTTATCAGTTTCTCCCACCTCTTCTCCAAGAATATGTAGAAACAAGCACTGAGAACAGTGCCTCACACATCAGATAGTCAATTAGCTAGATTTTATTTTTTATTTTTATTTTTTAAAGATTTTATTTATTTGACAGAGAGAGACACAGCGAGAGAGGGAACACAAGCAGGGGGTAGTGAGAGAGGGAGAAGCAGGCTTCCCGCTGAGCAGGGAGCCCGATGTGGGGCTTGATCCCAGGACCCCGGGATCATGACCTGAGCCGAAAGCAGACGCTTAACGACTGAGCCACCCAGGCACCCCCCTTAGCTAGATTTTAATGAACAGGTAAATACTAGCTGACACCTGCAAAGTTTTCATCCTAAGAGACAGCTCCTTTTATAAGAGTCTTTCCATTGTTTTTCAGCACATAATGAAAGTGATTAAAACACACACACACACACTTACATACCACTCAATTTCCACAAAGAAAAGGACTCAAAATGAATGTGAATTCTGTATCTTTACTCAATGGTTAAATCTGAATTTATGAGGAAGATGTAACCCCAAACTCAAGTAAATTATTCAAGTATTAGGGCTGAAAGAAAAAAAAAAAGATTTCTGGGGCACCTGGCTCGATCAGTCCATAGAGTAAGCGACTCTTGACCTCGAGGTTGTGAGTTCGAGCCCCACATTGGGTACAGAGATTACTTAAAAACAAAACAAACAAAAAAAAGATTTCTAGTCTGATTTATTTTTTCTTTTCTTTTTTTAAAGATTTTATTTATTTATTTGAGAGAGAGAGAGCGCAAGTAGAGGGAGAAGCAGAGGGGGAGGGACAAGCAGATTCCACACTGAGCCCAGAGCCAGACGCAGGGCTTGATCTCATGACCCAGAGATGATGACCTGAGCCGAAATTCAGAGTCGGACGGACGCTCAACCAAATAAGCCACCCAGGCACCCCTGTTTTAATTTTTCAAGTGCAAATCTACATTGTCTCTTCAACAAATGGTACAGGGACAGGTAGATATCCACATGCAAAAAAAATAAAGTTTGACTCTAACCTCACACTATATATGTATATACATATATATATACATATATATATTACATATATACATATACAAAATAACTCAAAATGAATCAAAGACCTAAATAGAAGAGCTAAAACTATACAACTCGTGGAAGAAAATATAGGGGTAAAATCTTCATGACCTTGGATTTGGCAATGGTTTCTTAGCTATGATACCAAAAGCACATGGACCAAAAAATAAATTAGATAAATTAGACTTCATCAAAATTTAAAACTTTTGTGCTTCAAAGAATACTACAAAGAGAGTACAAAAACAATCCACAGAATAGGAGAAAATATTTGCAAATCATGTATTTCATAAAGATCTAGTTTCTAGAATATAGGAAGAACTCTTACAATTCAAGAACAAAAAGACAAACCAGTTAAAAAATAGGCAAAGGATTCAAATAGGAATTTCTCTAAAGATATACAAATGGTCAACCATGAAAAGATGCTCACTATCAACAGCCAGCAGGGAACTGCAAAGCAAAACCACAATGATACACCATTCACACCTACCAGGATAGCTAGCATCAAAAGACAGTAAGTGTTGGTGAGGATGTAGAGAAGTTTGAACCCTCAATACACTGAAGGTGGGAATGTAAAACAGTGCAGCCTCTGTGGAAAACAATTTGGTGTTCTTCAATAAATTAAGCATAAAATTACCATATGACCCACAATACTACTCCTAAGTCCGGTGAGAATTAAAACGTATGTCCACGCAAAAATGTTCATAGAAATACTATTCATAATCGCCAAAAGGTGTAAAAAACCCAAATGCCCATCAACTTATCAGCAGATAAACAAAATATGGTATATGTATACAATGAAATATTATTCAGCCATAAAAAGGAATGAAGTATTGATACATGCTATATTGTTGAAGAACCTTGAAAACACCATGTTAAATGAAAGACGCCAGTCACAGAAGGCCACCTACTGTATGGCTGCATTTATATGAAATGTCCAGAGAGAGAAAGAAGTAGATTAGTGGTTGCCCCTGCCCCTGAAATAGGAAGTGACTGCTTACTGGGTACAAGGTTTCCATCCGGGTGATGAAAATGTTCTCTAGGGGCGCCTGGGTGGCTCAGTTGGTTAAGCGACTGCCTTCGGCTCAGGTCATGATCCTGGAGTCCCAGGATCGAGTCCCGCATCGGGCTCCCTGCTCGGCAGGGAGTCTGCTTCTCCCTCTGACCCTCCCCCCTCATGCTCTCTCTCTCTATCTCATTCTCTCTCTCAAATAAATAAATAAAATCTTTAAAAAAAAGAAAATGTTCTCTAACTAGATAGTAGTAATGGTTATACAACATTGTGAATGCACTTAATGCCAATGAATTGTATACTTTAAAATGGTAAATTTTATATTATGTATATTTGCCTCAATATAAAAAAGAAGAAAAAGCACCCAGTGTGGTCTTTGCACATGGTAGGTATTCCATAGTTGTTGACATTAATGACTATACAGCATGGTTTGAGTCCATCCCAGCTTCCAGTGACAGCAGATTTTGCCCTGTACAAACATGGCCCTATGGATTTATCAGCATTCTCTAGTTATTCTGTCTGAGGATTATGTACAAAGGCATAGCAACTATATTCCTTCCCCCTTTATACCACATCCCACAACTGTGCTAAGTCTTCTAAATAATTCCCAAACTACTTCTTGCTTTCCTGCCAGCCACTAGAAAAGCTAACAGCTTCATTCTATATTAGTTAGTTAAAGCTGAGCTTGCTACTGAGAGTTAGGGTGGGAGGTGATGGTAAGGAGAGATTTCATTGGACTATGACAAGACAATTACAAATATGAAGTGGTACAATATCACATTACTCTGAAGTCATATAATTAACTCTAGACAAGAGTTTCTCAACTTTGGCATGTTTGATATTTAGGGAAGAATAATTCTTTTTTTTTTTTATAAAGATTTTATTTATTTATTTGAGAGAGAGAGTCAGAGAGAGAGAGCACAAGAGGGAGGAGCGGGAGAGGGAGAAGCAGACTCCCTGCTGAGCAGGGAGCCTAATGCGGGACTTGATCCAGGGACTCCAGGATCATGACCTGAGCCGAAGGCAGTCGCTTAACCAACTGAGCCACCCAGGCGCCCGGGAAGAATAATTCTTTGTTGTGGGGGGGCTGTCCTGTCTATTATAGGACATGTAGCCGCATTCCTGGCCTCTACACACCAGACATCAACGCACGCCCCAGTCATGACAATCAAAAACGTCTCCAGATATTTTGTTGTCTAGGAGCAGAAGAGCCCTCAATTTAGAAGTAGACTAAAACATTGAACATCTTATCTAACATTAATACATACAAAGTGGTGTACCTTAGGGTTATGGGCTGGATTGGAAAATGAGAGGAGAGGGCAAAACAATCTAGACCACCCTGGATTGCCATGGGTCGACTTCCTGAAAGCTAACGTGTTTGGGAAAGGGCCATGGGAAACCTCAAGTAGAGAGAGCTGAGATTTTCAAAAGGACCAGAACAATGGCCACCCAAACTTAGCGGAGTTAAGAGTAAAGGCAGAAAGTACCTAGTGATAAATGTAATGCCATTCTTCCGCTTATTTAACTTCCTTGTGAATCCATGATGTTCAAAGACAGTGAAGAACTGGTCCCTGCTCTCTGCACTCTAGATGCCTATCACCTCTGCCCTGGGGATAAAGGCACCTGTTCAGATATTGCCCGAAAATAAAGATGGGAACTGCCTACCTGAGAGTCCCGTTCTCTCCTTTGTCCAGGCTGGTGAACCGGCTGTAGAGGCGGGTGATCTGACTGTGGGAAACTAAAGAACACAAAATTAGTCCCACCTGGCGAAGTCACCCTCCACTCAAACGGCCCTTCAGAAGTCAACTGCCTTTCTGGTCCCCAGCCCACCATACACTTCAAAGAGAGTAAAATGGGGAGATGTCTCAACTCTAACTCATTTCTAGAGTGTCAAAACAGGAATTTTAAAAGCTAAAGAAAGAAAGGAGTTAGAAAATAAATAAACTGAGAGTAATCAAAATTGACTCTCAGGAATGAAGTCTAGGCTTCATTAGGACTATGTATTAAATGTCAAGTGGTTAAGATTTACCAAAACAAAGCCAAATTTAGTTTAAAAGGAAATTGTAAAACTAACCTTTTTTACTTTTCTCACCTTGTCACCTTAGAGGCTATTAAATGTATGCTTTGATTAAAAACACATACCTATTAATTAGTTTGATGTTTCAGGTTGGCAATGCCAGGCTGGTTAACTTGTACAGATTAGGGCAGATTCTATTTTTATCTTATCTTTTTAAAGATTTTATTTTTAAGTAATCTCTGTACTCATCGTGGGGCTTGAACTCACAACCCTGAGATCAAGAGTCACAAGCTCCACCAACTGAGCCAGCCAGGTGCCCTGGGACAGATTCTATTTTTAAAATCTGGCTTGCTCCTGCACCAAGCTTTCGTGGCTTTCTTTTCCCTCAGGACTGACATTTAGGTAAAAGATCACAGGGTCAGGTCAGCCTCTTTTCTGTGATTGCATGAGCTCCACTGAGCTCCCAGTAAAGGAATGGGCTCCCAGAAAGCAAATTAGGCAATCTGTAAAAAGATCAGGTTGTCACGAGATGATATCTACAAGGAAGCTATTTTCCTCCTAATTTTTTAACTCAAGCACAAGCTGGCAATTAAAATGAGGTAATAACAGCAGGTACACAGTAAGAATTTGAAAATGCGTAAAGGAATTTCTGGGAAATAGTTTAGTTTCCCGGCTGATGGGAAGTAGGAGGGGAGAAAAAGGAGAGTTATCAAAGGGTAAAAGACAAGAGCCAAAAAGGGTGTGGTAAGTGTGGACTTTGTCCTAGGCTGTACCTTCAGGGGTTTAAAGGGGTGGCTGAAGGCTTTCTGATAGTAGCCCTCCTCCCCCAGCTCAACCAAATCTACTCGCAGTTTTACAAACAATGGGACAAAGTAAACCGGGGCACAGCAGGAGAAGCAGGAAGTGAATGGCCTGGAGCTAGGATGAGAGGACACACTAGGGGCAGCAGTGAATTCTTCAGCATCAGATTTCACCCCAAGCTGGGCTGTTGGGTACTAGCTCTCCAAAGAGAGCGGAGAAGAAGAATCAATCTCAGCCAGCCCAGAGCCAGCCCAGAGCCAGCCTAGAGCCGGCAGGTGCCAGGTGCTGAGGAGGCAGCTGTGGACCCACTCAGGGCCAGCCAGTGCTCTCTGGTGGGGGTCAGGTAACAGGCTGATCCCATTCATGGCACCACCGCCTACCTAGTGAGGGATGAACACAAAGGGCTGCGGAGAGAACTACGGGAGTCCAGGAGAAGAAAGCACTTGACAGAGCGTCTGGTACCGGGGAAGCACTCCAGGTTAGCCACTAGGGTCATCATCCTGGCACTGTGAGCCGGAAGGTGCAGCTTCACTGCTGCACTTACAATTAATCTCTCCCTTTCTCCTGACTCTGGCAGCTACAGCCGTTTTCTTCAGGAACCTGACCTGTTTAGCCTGGCTCTGGCCTCTGGCCTCAAAGGATGCTCTAGAACTAAAGTTCCCTTTAGTTTAACAAAAATAAGTCAGTTAAAGAATGACTAACATTCCCCAAAAGATTTTTTGAAAGAACAAAACTTGTTCACAGTCTCAACACCACTGTTTTCATTTCTTTATATACCACCTAATATCAGCCACTTGTACACTTTCCATAGTTGGAACAGCTTCTCATTTATTCACTCATAATTATTCTGTGTTGCTTTGGAGTCCTTTTTAATAATTGCAGGATATTTAGTCCACTGGTTCAGTTTTTAGTACTTAGACTATTATATATTCAGATTACTTTCCTTTTTTTTTTTTTTAAAGATTTTATTTATTTATTTGAGACCGAGAGAATGAGAGAGACAGAGAGCATATGAAGGGGGGAGGGTCAGAAGGAGAAGCAGGCTCCCCGCCGAGCAGGGAGCCCGACGCGGGACTCGATCCAGGGACTCCAGGATCATGACCTGAGCCGAAGGCAGTCGCTTAACCAACTGAGCCACCCAGGCGCCCAGATTACTTTCCTTTTAACAAGGAAAACATTGAATTGTATTTCTTTTTATACCAGGTTTTTTTTTTTTTTAAGATTTCATTTTTAAGTAATCTTTACACCCAACATGGGACTCAAATTCACAACCCTGCAAGAGTTGCATGCTCTATGGAGTGAGCCAGCCAGGCGCCCCTTTTTTTGAGAAAATAATCCATGCACATTGTAAAAATGCAGATAGTACAAAAGTGTACACAATAAAAAGTCTCCCTAACAACCAAGTTCCCTAGTCTCCCTTGCCAGAAGCAAACACTATTACCAGCTTTTTGTGAATCCTTCTAGAAATCCCATATATGTATATATAAGTATGTATAGCTATTGATACAATTTTAAAACTGGCAGGGATGTTGTCATCTAGTCCAACCCCTTCAACCAACAAATGAGCCATAAGACCTCTTTCTAATCTAGATCATCTCAAAGAACCTCTTAAAGTATGATTCTAAAAATTCCCTAAGTACTGGTATGGTATTACATCCCATATTTCAGAAAAAAGATCAGCTTATGGCTGGTTTCCTTAAAAATATGGAATGCCTGGGGCACCTGGATGGCTCCATCGTTAAGGGTCTCTTGGTTTCAGCTCAGGTAATAATCTCCCAGGTTGTGGGATAGAGCCCAGCATCAGACTCCAAGCTGGGGTGGGGCATCTCCTTGAAGTTTCTCTCCCTCTGCACCACACACGCGCTCTCTCTCTCTCAAATAAATAAATAGATAAATAAATAAATAAATCTTTTAAAAAACATACGGAATGCTTCACAAATTTTCATGAACCATAAACCTGCTATCTTCCAGGAGGAAGGAGGCTATATGGAAATCAGTAGACAAATGTACAAATAAATGTCAACTTTTAATACAACTCAATATGGTCAAATCTCAATCTATGTCCTAAACTTCAGAATTAATGTTTATTTTTTTAAAGATTTTATTTATTTATTTGTCAGAGAGAGAGAGCACGCACGCGCCCACAAGCAGGAGGAGCAGCAGGCAGAGGGAGAAGCAGGCTCTGCGCCAAGCAGGGAGCCCGATGCGGGAACTTGACCCCAGGACCCTGGGATCGTGACCCGAGCCTAAGGCAGACGCTTAACTTACTGAGCCACCCAGGCGTCCCCAGAACTAATGTTTATTAAGAAGAAAGAAAAGGAGGGGCGCCTGGGTGGCTCAGATGGTCAAGCGTCTGCATTCGGCTCAGGTCATGATCCCAGGATCCTGGGATTGAGTCCCACATCGGGCTCCCTGCTAGGCGGGGAGCCTGCTTCTCCCTCTGCCTCTCTCTCTCTCTCTGACTTTCATGAATAAATAAATAAAACATTTAAAAAAAAAAGAAAAAAGAAAAAAAAGAAGAAAGAAAAGGAGAAAGAGGAGGAGGAAAGCAAGCTTTAATCTAGGTGCTAAATCCACCATGACAGAGAATATAAAGCAATCTCCAAGGTGTAGAGCTCAGAGCAACTTCAAGGAGCAGAAAGATATTGGAACTGCCACAAATGAAGGCAAGAAAAGTTTCCAGTAAACTCTTCTCACCAAAAGGTACTAGGCTAACAGGACAGGTGCCCCAAGCCTGCACCAATTCTCCGTAACCCAAAGGAAGTCTCTGGAGTTGACCTCACAGAAAAGGCTGTGGACATGGTCATGTCTTGAATGAAGCTATATTTCTCTCCACTAATGGGCAAATAATTATTTTATACTGTTGAAAGATTACTTGAAAGACCCTGCCAATCTGACCACAAAACTCTCTGTATCACTGCCTCATGCTCAGAGGACAAAGGCATTTCAGAGAAGTACCAAGCACTAGGCAGGAATGACTGAGGGAAGAATAAAATGAAAAGGGAGTAAGAAAAAAGTTATTTTTCCCTTGCCTTTATCCTACATCTTAATACAGAAGAACAGACTGATAACCTAGGGTAAAGCATACTACTACAACCAAAGGTAACTCCAGATAAAAGATTGAGAAGGGGCGCCTGGGTGGCTCAGTCGGTTAAGCGACTGCCTTCGGCTCAGGTCATGATCCTGGAGTCCCGGGATGGAGTCCCGGGATCGAGTCCCACATCGGGCTCCCTGCTCGGCAGGGAGTCTGCTTCTCCCTCTAACCCTCCCCCCTCTCATGTACTCTCTCTCTCATTCTCGCTCTCTCAAATAAATAAATAAAATCTTTAAAAAAAAAAAAAAAAAGATTGAGAAGTTGAAGTCTTGAATCCCAACCATTCCACACTCCAACACTTCCTGTTTCCCCTGGCCTAGGGCTTCAAGAGCTGGCCTAGTCTCTAAGGGAAGCTATAGATTAAAAGAGACTTAAAAGACATTAAAACAACAAGAACAAACCACCTTCTCATAATTTGGGAAATTTGAATATGGACTAAATGGTAGATAATATTTTTAAATTATTGTCAATTTTCTTAGGTGTAATATAGTACTGAGGTTATGTAGGAAGAAAAACCCCTATTCTCAGGAGATACATGCAGATATATTTAGGTGAAGAGTTCTGTTATTTGCCATTTAAATGGTTCACCAAAAAATATATATACACATATAAATAAAGTAAATACACAGCTAAAGCTATATATATTTATCTATATGTAGATAAAGCAAAATGTTAACTGCTGAATTGTGGTGGAAGGTATATGGATGTTCATACACTACTTTAACTTTTCTATATATTTCAAATTTTTCATAGTAATTTGGGGGGAAAAGTACATAGCTTTACAAATCACTTAACCCCAAACCAGCTAAAGGTGTTAGTTATAAGTACATTTCCATTTCAAGAGGAGCCAGAAGATAGCACCTTCAGGCAACATGGCTTGGCAGGTGAGGGCCATGAAGGGTTCTTGCATTTTGAGATAGCAGGAGCCTGAAGCTGAACTTCCGGGTACATTCTAGTCCAGGAAATTATTCTCAAAGCAATTGCCTTTGCCAGGCTTGTGCTCTTTGTCGAAACTAGAAAAACCCACACTAGTTCTATCATCACTATACCTTCTCAAACAAACAAAACCTCACCAGCCTGTAAAACTTACTTCCTAAACCTGTTCAACACCATCCCTGTACCACATGACACACACCAGAACTAGAGACTAAAATTAAATGAATGTAAAAAAATAATAATAATAATTAAATTAAATGAATGGGCATTCATTACTACTCCATTGGTTTGAATTGTTTCTCACAGATTAAGCGGCTGTTTTTAAAAAATGGTTTTAAGTAATTCACAGCCAGTTTATTGCTACAGTTAAGTGAACTAAGAGTGGAGATTACAGAAACTCCCAAGACCGTTGTGATTTTCCCCCAGTGATAACTTATTCAGCTGGGCTTTAATATATGAAAATGCTGATGTGTGAAAGAAAGTAACAGAACAAAGACAATATAGCAAATGTTTTATGCAACACAAAATGTTTTGAGGGGCGCCTGGATGGCTCAGGTGGTTAAGCATCATCAGACTCTTGATTTTGGCTCAGGTCAAGTGATCTCAGGGTTGTGAGATCAAGCCCTGCATTGGGCTCCGAGCTGGGCATGGAGCCTTCTTAAGATTCTCTATCTCCCTTTCCGTCTGCCCCTCCCCCTCCCCCACGCTGTTAGTCTCTCTCTCTCAAAAAAAAAGAAAAATATTTTTTTAAGACAATGTTTTTTAAACTGTTAAAAACATTAAGATGTCTACTCCTTTAAAAGCTTTATTTCTATAGAGTTGGGAAAACGACTGGATTTCTAGTCCGATGCTCCCTGAAAATAGGAAAAGTATAAAATGCTGTCACCTCTCCACTTATATAGCCCTAGACAGTTTTATAACTAGCACATACAAATATTTTCCCAGTAAGATGAGTCTTATCTATGGCTCAAAATAATAGCTGACACTTACCTGATACTTATATATCAGGCACTATTCTAGGTAGTTTAAATGATTTATCTCATTTAATCCTCATAAGAATCCTATGAAGTAGGTACTATTATTATTCCCATTTACAGATGACAAAACTGAGGCTTACAGGTAATTCTTACCTAGAATTAGTCTGCCAAATACTTGAGAGATTACATTTCAAATACTGGCTAAACCAGTCATGCAAGAATTCTAATCAATTTAGACTTACGGAAAATATGTTTAAATATAATCAACAATTCCAATGCAAAGCTTTCATATTGACTATGAAGTCAGTTTTCCTCAATTATGCCACATTTTCTTACTGGCAAAGGGAGTAATGAGATGTCATATTACTTGTTCTTAACTTGAAGTGTTTCTGATTGATAGTTCCCTAAACTCTTAATGGAACAAGAAGCAGATGAAAATTGGACAAATTCCACTTCTCCACCTCCCCCTCAGGTATCTGTTTTTAGTCTTCTAAACCTTTTGCATCGTGTTAAAATTACTGCTTTAAAAATCAACTCTGAGGACACCTGGGTGGCTCAGTCGTTAAGCGTCTGCCTTCGGCTCAGGTCATGATCCCAGGGTCCTGGGATCGAGCCCCACATCGGGCTCCCTGCTCAGCGGGAAGCCTGCTTCTCCCTCTCCCACTCCCCCTGCTTGTGTTCTCTCTCTGTCAAATAAATAAATAAAATCTTAAAAAAAAAATAAAAATAAAAATCAACTCTGCTGGGGTGCCTGGGTGGCTCAGTCATTAAGCGTCTGCCTTCGGCTCAGGTCATGATCCCAGGGCCCTGGGATCGAGCCCCACATAGGGCTCCCTGCTCAGCGGGAAGCCTGCTTCTCCCTCTCCCACTCCCCCTGCTTGTGTTCCCTCTCTCGCTCTCTGTCAAATAAATAAATAAAAATCTTAAAAAAAAAAAAAATCAACTCTGCTGATGGACACTAACCAGATAAAGGGTTGGCTCAACAACCAGGGCAGAGGAATGACTTTGTAGCAGGCTGGGGGAGAATGCTCCTGGAAGCCACCCAAAATGCCCTAGGTTAACTTATCTAATTCATCCATGCCTGTATCAGAGCCCAATTCCTATCCTCTCCAAGACCAGCCCACAGACTCAGTCTTTCCAGAGTCTTAAGGTGCATGGCACACCATTTCAGCTACCTTATGTCATAATGCGAATCCTAATCTCTATGGGCATCTTTTGTCACCATCTGCTTTGAGTACCTAGCATAGTACTAAATACAGACAATGCAAAAATTCAGTAACTACTTGCTCATTTGGCTTTCTGGCTTAACAAATCCATTTGCACTAGTTGTGGTTGAGAATCTTCTTCAGGCTTGATGCACTTTTTGGCAACTAGGAAAACAGGTCTTCCAGGAGTATGTAGGTCTGTTCCTTCACAAGCCACAGTAAAATAACTCCAGTCCTATAGAGTCCAGGGTCTTTCCATTTTGTCAAATGTAAATAAGCCCAAATGGGATTGGTGCTCCCTTCATCTTGAGGCAAAAACAGCTTTTTCCCATCCTCACTATGGCTTGCACTTCATTATGTGACTTTCTATTTTAAGTATGAATGCTTTAACTCTGGTGTCACCTTAGACCTAAAGTAGTTCTTATATTTACAAGTGTGGCCAGAGGTCATGACCACAAAATTTAACAAAATGCTTGCTGACTCCAAACTGCCTATATTTCTACTCTTAAAGAGTCAGAATGAGTCATCAATTGACCATAAGATCAAGTGGCCAAACAAGTATTATACATTATAACCAGCTAACTACTTTCTGTCTTTCATCCAAAATCAGTAGGTGGTGCGCTTATCATCCTTAAAGGTATTTATGGAGAGGCTACTGGCCATCTGTTAGGGGATGCTAAAAGCAGTAAACCAATCTGACAAGGGTGGGGCTAGATTAACATCCCTTCCAAATTGCAGATTCTAGAAAGTTAAATTTGTCCGAAAGCACAGGACAGCATTCAGTTTCTCTCAGGCCACCACTGCCTGTATAATTCTGTAGTTCCCCCAGCACCCTTCAACATTACCTGCATATGGGCCCCTGAGTTACTTACTGGTCACCTCATCACATTAAAGACAGGTTATCACGAAGAGACAGAGCTCAAACAGTTACATAACTTATGTAAAATACAAGAGTCATAATGGATTACTGAGAAAATAGTGTATTCATTATCAAGGGCTATACAAAACTGTGTGATGTTACACAGAGCTTCTGAATTCCCAAAGCCCTGTGGCCCCTAGGTTCAGGTGAACGAGGAAGAGACTGGACTATAAAAAATCAGTTCCTAGTACAAATTTGCACTGAGATTTTGGAGCACATCCAATTTCCATAGCGACTGCATAAAGTACGCCAGCATAGTAGAAATCAATAGATCGGAAATTAGGGCAGCAAGCATCCTCAGTGTAAGTAAAAAACTGGTGGTCATAGTATCCGTGCTTTTTTTTCTCCATAGGTTCAGAATGAAAGAAGTCTCATATTCTCAGACCCCTCATTCTTTAAAGGTCTCCTGTTACCAGGTCACGTCTTCCAAAGCCTTACTATATAGGATCTTGTTTTCTGGATTTATTTTTCCAGTCGCGGAAAGAATTTATTTGTGATTTCCCGCAGTTGACAGTGATTTTAAGTGCTTGCCCAGAAACGTCACAGGAACGGATTATGTTTTCTACAGGATCCATCCAGAGCTCCTGAATTCAAGGTTAGTGAGAAGGAAAATAAAAGAAAGGAGTTCGGGGACTTTCATGAGCAGGGGGAAGAGAAAAGAGCGGTGCCTGTGCTCTAAGGGTGATCGCGACTCCTGCCTCTGAGGGGAAGGACAGCCCCACAGGAGCCAGAGCCCCGCTCCAAGTAGCCGTAAGGACAGGTCCTCCAGCCCTCGGCCACGAAGCTCCAGCGCTGGGGGCTGCCCAGTACCCGACAACCGCCGGGCACCCCAACTCCGGACCGCAACGACAGCCGCCGTCGGTTCTGAGGCCAGCCAGAGGCACCCGGCCGCTTTCCCACCCCCTACCCGAACTCACAGCCGGTCTCCTTCTTGATCTCCTCGAGCTCTTCGTCCCGCAGTAACGTGGAAGCCCGAGACCCCATCACCGAACCGGGAGCTCCTTCGGGAGCAGGGGCGTCGGAAGCGACGGCGGCGGCGGGAGGGAAAGGAAAAAGGCCCAGGGGTCAAGATGCGAGAGAGCAGTGTTCCTACTGCGGACCCGGGAGGGAACCCAGGGGTGGCAAGAGGGGGAGGGCGGTCCCCAAGAACCAGCCAATGAGGAGCGAGGCTTTGCCCGGCGCAGGAGCCGACGTCGGCGCTTCCAGCTCCAGCCCCCGAATGAATCAGCCCAGCGCAGGGCCGGGTATTCCTAAGAACGGACCACGCCCCCGGAAGCGTGATGCCACCGGCCTTAAAAAGGCAATGCCACTCTGGCTCTAGCGACCGCAATTAAAAGGGAAACGCCATCGACCCACAGTTTTATAACGAACTAACCTGAGGCAGGCAGCATAGCCAACCCGTTTCTCACAGAACTCTAAAAGTGGAAACCCCACCCACAGGTGGCAGGGATTGCGGAGAGAAGCCATAAAAATAGAGCAAATGTCTCTTGGGGCAACTCTAGGGTGTGTCTCTTGGGAACTGCATGCCGGGAGTTACACCTTCTCCTTTTTTCTGGAGGTCCTCCGTCCTCCTGGCCGCTGGGGGCGCTCGGGAGCCAGCCTCCGGGGCGCGCGCCGATTGGCTCCTCGGGAAACAGCCGGTACCTCTGGTTGCGCCAGGCTGGCGTCCGCTCTTCGGTGTGGGTTTTCAGTGCCGTGTACTTTTCTCCCGTTCTTTCGTCTCTGTCCTTTGATAACCGCCAACGCCGGCTTGGAACTACCGGACAGTTCTTCCTTAACAGCAGTACCTCCTTTTTTAGTTCGGTACTGAAGCTCGAGGAAGTCACCATTTGGCTGAAACTGGGACAGGATTTCGCAAACTTCCTTCGGGAAAAAATAACCTGACGGTGGACGAGATTGAATTCCTAGCGTATGGCCCACCGTTTATTTGGAGTTTCTTATTTTGTCTTAAAAATGAGGAATTTTGCATTTTATTTTTATATTTTTGTTTTCTTGAAAATGTTTAAAACGCCACCCGTTAACTAATTCAGCCCCCTCCGTGAACCAGTTCTTTCCTGTGGCTTCAATGCCTTTTCACCCCCTCCCCACCCTTCTGAGTGTTGCTTTATGCATAACGGGTTTGAGATAGGGAAGAATCAAATTCTAACAACGGTCATTTTGTGCCTAAACTACTTTTAAGCTTTACCTACGGTCTTGACGACTTAGCATGAGGCCAAGGTTCTAGTCTCACTAAGTTGTTGTCATGATTGACCGGCTCTTGTCTGATCTAGTGTTGTCCCCCTTCAAAGGCACTGACATGGCAGCCGGATTGGTCATGCATAAATTGTGATAGTTCTAAGTCACTTATGCTTTGGTTGGTAACAGTGTCAATTTCTGGAAATGTTACTAATGTAGAAGAGGCCAGAAGAATTTAGATGGTAGATTTTTTTTTTTTCTCTGTCAGGAACAGCCTGCTCATTTTATTTTTTTATTTTTGAAGATTTTATTTATTTGACAGAGAGATAGAGAGACAGCACAAGTAGGCAGAGTGGCAGGCAGAGGGAGAGGGAGAAGCAGGCTTCCCGCTGAGCGGGGAGCCCGATTCGGGGCTCGATCCCAGGATCCTGGGATCATGACCGGAGCCGAAGGCAGCCGCCTAGCCGACTGAGCCATCCAGGCGCCCCTAGATGGTAGATATTTCTGGGTGAGCAGCTTATGGTAGCGAGTATTGGCAAATATTTTGCCAGCATCAGGTTTTTTTTTTTTTCACTTGTTATTTTAGAGTTTCTTTCTCTCTCTCTCTCTCTCTCTTTTTTTTGTTGGTTGGTGTTAAAAAGATATATGAATGTACCATTTAAAGGCCTCTAAAATGTTCTGCTTGTTCCATTTAGCTAAGGTATGAAAGGTAGTATTACCCCATTTTATAGACAAAGAAGTCAAACCTACAGTGCCTGAAGTTTTACGGCTTTCAGTTTCCCATGTATAAATTAGAGTTGATGCTTGCAATAGTCCTTTTCTCATTATTGTTCTGAAAAGATGAGCAAAACTGAATTACTCTCATATTTTTCTTTTTCTTGTCCCTTCCAGGTATGGGGAAAGGGAAAATAACCTCATTCCCCCAAAATATTTTTTAAATCCTAGATCTCTTTTATTTTCAAGTGTTTGGATACTTAAAGAAGATTATTTGAAGACTGCTTTTGGAATCAAATAGCATGGATCCCAGCAGTGACTACCATTTCCTCAATCAGATTTTGTGGAGAAGGGTGAAACTCACGTTGGTTTGTGGCATATTTGAGGGAGTACTCCAGCATGTGGACCCTAACAAGATTGTTGTCCTGAAGAAAGGTCTAATTTTATTTGTCATTATCTTCTGCCTTTAAGAAATTAATAGTTAAGTTTGGGTGAGGGCTCTGGGGGCTTCATTAGCAACTGGGAGGGAGACATTCCTATTCTAAGGAAGAGTTAAGAGGAAGATTAGAATACTGTTTTCCCTAACAGAAAACATAGCTGCATCTGCGGGCTTGTCCCCACTTTTATACTTTTATTGACATGATAGTGGAAATTTTCGGTGTATAGATTCTTTTTACTGGGTGCTTCTTATAATTTCTTACTATATGCATATTGAAATTAAAAATAACCGCTCTATTAGATAGAATTACTTTTGGCTTCAACAGACAGAGTCACAAAGACAGGGTTTAATTTTTGTCATGCAAAAAGAAGTCCAGAGGTAGGCTGCTAAGGAATAGTGCAGTGGCTCAAAGATGCCAGGAGGGACCAGGTGTCTGTGGTTTTTGCCACTTCAGGGATCATGCATTATCTTCATGGTCACAAGGTAACCTCTACACCTCCCAGCTTCAATTCTGTTCATTGTAAGGGATGCAACTCAGGAACAGCCAAGTGGAAGAGATGCATAGGTCAAGGTCTATGGGAAGGAGCTCAGAGTTTCCGTGCCTCTTCTGGGTGTACCATCCTCCTAGTTCCTACATGTGTTCACCTTTAAGATCCAATATATAGTTTTTATTCATCTAGAATATTGACTTGCTAGGGTAGTTGTTTACCTGGCAAAGTTTCAAGTTCACAATTGAAACATGTATAAATGGCATTTGAGAGATTAGTGTTATTGTTAAGCCATATTATAGGTTAAAATAGACCTTTGTGGGCCAGGGTGGGACTACACCAGACTTTTGAAATATTAATTCATTCAGTAATCATTTATTGATAGTTTTGTATCACAGGCACTGTGATAGATACCAGGGATATAGATAAGAATAACATGGTCCCTGTCCTTAAACTTAGTCTGGTAAAGAGACAGATAAGCAAGTAGAAAGGTATAATGCAGTGTGATATCCTCTCTGATAGAGAGATGCACAAGATGCTATGGAAACACAAAATTTCAGTTAATTTAGATCTGGGAGTGGTAGGGTTAGGATAGTGGGGAAGGTGTCCCAAAGGTGAGTAAGATTTAACTGGATGGAAAAAGAGTAGAAAGTGTTTTAAGCCAGTGGTTCTTAAATTTTATCTGTGTATCAGAATCACCTGGGGGACTTGTTAAAACAGTTTGCTGGGCCACTCTCTAAGAGTTTCTGATTCTTAAGGTCTGGGGTGGGGCCCAAGAACTTACATTTCTAACAAGTTTCCTGGTGATGTTGACGCTCAGCTGGAGAACCGCACTTTGAGAGAACCATAGTTTTACGCAGAAGTAGCACCATGTACAAAAAATGTAGAGACGTGAAAACTTGGTTCATTCAGAAAACCTAAGTAAATTTCCTTCTGGGGATGTGGTGAGACTTAAGGCTGGAGAAGTAGGTATGGGACTGATGAGAAGGCCTTAACATATTGTAGCATTTGGACACTTCTGAAAGCAATGAGGAACAATTTGAAAGATATATTTTTTTTAAAGATTTTTATTTATTTATTTGTCAGAGAGAGAGAGAGAGCACAAGCAGGGGGAGCAGCAGAGGGAGAGGGAGAAGCAGGCTCCTCACTGAGCAAGGAGCCCAATGTGGGACTCGATCCTAGGACCCTGGGATCATGACCTGAGCCGAAGACAGATGCTTAAGGACTGAGCCACCCAGGTGTCCCGAAAGATATATATTTTTTAAAGTAAGCTCTAGGCCTAGTGTGGGGCCTGAACTCATGACCATGAGATCAAGAGTTGCTTGCTCTACTGACCAAGCCAGCAAGACACCCCGCAATTTGAAAGATTTTTAAGTGGAAGGCATCTAAGTTTTAAAACTCGTTGCCTGAAATTGTTAATGCTGTGTTTTTTAGGAGCCATGCTCAGCTGCTGGAAACAGATTACGTCCAGTGGCTTAAACAAAGTAGGAGTTTATTCTGTTATATAAAAGAAGGCAGGCGTCCCAGGGCTGCTGTGAGTCTCCCCAGAGTTGGCAGAGATTCAGGATTATCCATCTTCCTGCTCTACCATCTTCATGGCTTCAAACCTAAAGATCATGTTACAGATAGGAGGAAGAGGAAAGAGGGGTAAGAGGGTGTTACCCCCGGCTGAGTCAGTCCCCTTAAAGAGATGCCCTGGAGGTCCAAGAAACCACCACTGTCTGTGGGGAGACTAAGCTCATTGCTAGCCTGAATAAATGGCATTGAGTTGAAAACAAGATATGCCACATGCTTGTTCAACAAAGCATTCAGTCTAAATGAAATATTTTGGTGTATTTCTCTCTAGTCTTTAATTACATAGATTTTTTATAGTTGACATATTCAGTTAGGTATGTATTTTTTTACTTAACATGATAAAAAGCATTTTCTCATGTTACTTGAAACTCCAATTTAATGGCTAAACTTTTTATGTTTTTAATTTTTTTCTTTTTTTTAGAGTAAGTACACGTGAGCAGAGGGGGAGGGGCAGAGGGAGAAAGAATCTTAAGCAGGATCCATGCTTGTGCAGAGCTGAGGTGGGGCTCTATCCCAAGACCTTGAGATCATGATCTGAGCCGAAGGCAGACGCTTAACCAGCTGAGCCATCCAGGTGCCCCCACCATTGGATTTAAAAAAAAAAAATGCTGATGTGTATCTTTCTTAAATTTTTGCTAGTTTTATAGGTAAAAAATGATATTTCATCTTGGCATGATTAAAAAATATTCGTAAAGAAGTTGAAAATATTTCTTTATACTTGTTTACGAATTTTAGGTACTATTTGGACAAGGCAGGGAGTATTTTCACTATGACAGCAATGTGAAAGAAGGACTGAAGTAGGGAGAAACTGGAGGCAAAGAGCATAGATGGAACTATTTTGACAATCAAGGAATCCAATAAAGGGAACAGATGGGGGTCAGAGCTAAGGCTCAGCAAGGAATGGAAAAGAGAAGGCAGATTTTAGAAATACGTAAGAGATGGGATAAGTAACCTGGTAATCAATTAGATAATTAAAGAGCAATGGAAGGGTGCCTGGGTGGCTCAGTCAGTTAAGCATCCAACTCTTAATTTTGGCTCAGGTCATGATCTCAGGGTCATAAGATTGAACCCCGCATCAGGTTCTACACTGAATGTGGAGCCTGCTTAAGATTCTCTCTCTCCCTCTCCCTCTCCCCAACCCCGCAACATGTGCTCTTAAATAAATAAATGGCAATGGAAAATGATTACTACATTTATGACTCAGAAGATTAGGTATATATTAGTTATTAGTTGATAGAAATGGGAAGAGGAAGTTTGTTGGTTACTGGGAGAAGATAATGATTTCAATTTGAAAATCTTAGAGTAAGTCTGCTATTAGCTGGAAATATGAGTAGAGGTCAGAGAAATAATCTGTGCTGTAAAAATAGTGGATGTGGGGGTGCCTGGTTGATTCAGTCCGAAGAGCATGTGACTCTTGATCTCAGGGTGGTGAGTTTGAGCCCTACATTGGGTGTAGAGATTACTTACATGAAAGGAAAGAAGGAAGGAAGGAAGGAAGGAAAAGGAAAAGGGAAGGAGAAATGGGGAGATCAGGATGTCAGAGGTGGTGGAGGCAGTTGAAGAGACAGGAAGGAGCAAACGAGGGAGACAATGTAACATTGGTTCACAGTTGCGTATTAAAATACCTGAGGCCTGGGTTTGAATCCTAACTCCGTCTTTTATTAGCAGTGTAACCTTGAAAGGTTATTCAACCTTTCTGAGTCTCACATTCCTACATAACAGAGATAATGAAATGCCTCTCTTGTTATGTTACTGGAGAATTAATTGTAGGCAAATAATTAGCATGGTGCCTAGCTCTGAGTCGGTGCTCAGTATGGTAACTCTAGGAAATTAGTAGGAAAAGAACTAAACTTGAGATATGTCCTATAAGCTAAAGAAGAAAGGAAAGAACTGTATTGTCAAAGGATACATGGGAGCCAAGGATGATAAGACTATAAACTTCTTTTTGGATTTGAAAAATAGGCAGTTGTGGGGTGCCTGGGTGGCTTAGTCAGTTAAGCCTCTGCCGTAGGCTCAGGTTATGATCCTGGGGTCCTGGGATCAAGCCCCACCTCCGGCTCCCTGCTCATCGGTGAGCCTGTTTCTCCTTCTCCCTCTGCCCCTCCCCCTGCTCATGCTCTCTCTCTCCCTCTCTCTCTGTCATATAAATAAATAAAATCTTAAAAAAAAAAACAAAGAAAAGAAAACTAGGCAGTTGTGATTTTTGACCTCAGTAAGAATATATTCAGTGGAACAGTGAGGGTGAAACAATTATTTTGGATTGCTGAGTGATATGGAAATATACAGCCCTGGGAGCACTTACATCTAGAGAAATGACACCATATTGTAGATATGACATCTAAACTTCTCCTAACCTCTTACCTGTTCACAGAAGAGCCTCTATATTTGGGCCAGGAGTTGGGTTATTGTCCTTGACAGTATTTTTGAGCATGTAGCATGGCATGAAACAGGGTATGGACTCTAGAAGTAGTCAGCTGCCTTAAAATTTTATCTGGAATTAGGTGGAGTAAAAATCAATAGAAATATAATAGGTAGTCCTGAGCCTCAAGGGCCTTAGTATAGTCTTGGGATAAGTTTAAATTCATACTCCTGCCCTTTAAGTTCATCTCGGACCATTCGGAGCTTCTCTCTGTTCTTTATCCTACTTGTTTCAAGGCTATAGCTTTGTAATTTATTATTGACTCTTCATTTCTTGGGGAAAATAATTTGGGGATTTTTTTATAAAACTCAAGATATGGCACTTTTAAGAAAAGATTTATTTATTTATTTGAGAGAGAGTCAGTGAATGGAGGGAGGGGCAGAGGAAGAGGGAAAGGGAGAGAATCCTCAAGCAGAGTCTGCACTGAGTGCAGAGCCCAACACGGCTTGATCTCAGGACCCTAAAATCATGACCCGAGCCGAAACCAAGAGTTGGACGCTTAACCAACTGAGCCACCCTGGCACCCCTAGATATGGCACTTTTGAGAGGCATTATTCTCTTACAATTTTAGGGAAATACTACTTTTTATTAACTGAATGAATTGTTTTCTGTCACAGTGAAGAATGTGGAGACTGGTCGAAGTGTTCCAGGAGTGAAGATGTTTTTTGGGCATGAGATTCTGAACGGTGAGAGCTGCATGTTCCATGACTGTGGGTATTGGGATTTACAGTAATAGTAAACTCACTGCTCTGCCTCATTCCAGTATTTGCAAAAATATGAGATGTTGTATTGCCTTTAATATTGCACTTACAAACTCTTTAAGTTGGTATTTGAGAATTGACCTTTATCTTACTTTTTCAGTGGGTACTATGAGCAGAATAGTCATAGAGAATTTTAATCGTCTTTGTTTTACAGTGTGAGGACTGCTGGTACTCGTTACTAGAGACTCAGCCAGTGGGTAGTTAGCAATCTGAACAGCAAGGAATTGTCTTTTGAATTTGACACTATGGAGTCACGGTACATTCACTGTACCTTATCTGAACCCTGGGGGCCAAATGTTTCAGAATTCAGAAATCTGGATTTTTGGAAAATCTAACACAATGTATACTCTTTATATTATATAACGTCTCAAGCAGATCTGGGAAACACTCTAATAAAACACATTTCTTACAGGGAAACGTGGATAATCATTATAAATGGAATAAAATAGGACTATAAATAGTATGTCAGTTTTGCTGCCAAAAGAGGTACAGACAATTTTTAGTTTTCAGAGATTTTTGAATTTTGGAATTGCAAGATGCAGCTCTCTTCTTCATTTCTACCAGCAAAAACCATTTAACAAGAGTAGGTCCAACTGTTTGCCAAGAAGAGTAGATATGGAAGCTCTTCTGGTCAGCGTGCTTCAGCCAAGCCAAATAGGATAAAAGAAAAGGGGAGCGAGAACTGTTCTTACTTTGAAGAACTCAAAAGCAGAAAGCCCTCCAAGAAGGAGTAAAGATCAGTGTGGGGTGGAGGAGTGGGGAGAGCGGGAGATCTGGGACCTTCTAGAGCTGTTCATTTCTTACCAGCGGGGCAGATAGAGAGGAAAGGAAAGGACTCCTGTAGACCAAGGTCTACTGCTGCTTGAAAGATTACTTTGTTTTGTGAGGGAGGTAGAATTGAGAGAGAAATGAAAGTCTCACCAAATTAATGACTGCCAATCCAGACTTATTTCAAGGCAGACAGTTCCAGACAGCTATCCAAGGGTCCCTTCTCACAGAGTATGCTACTATAAACACTCTTTGTCCCTTAACACCTTTTTATAATGGCTTTGAGGGTGGTGGTAGTAGTGGGATTCTTTTTTTTTTTTTAAGATTTTTAAGTAACCTCTACCCCTGACATGGGGTTCAAACTCAACCCTGAGATCAGGAGTCCCATGCTCTACCAACTAAGCTAACCTGGCACCCTGCCCCCCCCCCCCATAGTGGAATTCTTATTGTGCTTTAGCTATTAGCCTTTGCACTGGATCAGAGCTAGGCTGTGGATGGGTTTGTAAAGAGAAGCAAAGGAATCACTACTACCATCTCCCTAACTTCAAAGAAGGCCAGCTTTGTGAACTGTATACATGGATTTCATCTCTTTCTAGACTCTCAAAACTTGGCCTTTGTTCATAATTTTTAGTTCAAAGGACAGCCTTCTCCTTCTTTGCCCTGTGGTTCAATCAGCCATGGATTGAGACTTTTTCCACTCTCCCTGAAAAGCACTTTGAATTAGAATTATTAAAATGAAGAAGAATATTAACTGGAATTTAAATAAAACCTTGAAACAAAAATAAATTAAATAAATAAAATGAAGAATAATAATTGACTAGTCAGTATTTTTAGTGACTTTCACTTTCTCTGCCCCAGATTCAACACCCCAATAATGCAGGGGAAAGAGACATTTGGAAATATAGTGGCCCCTGAGTGGATCTTCTCTGAGTAGTACCTAAGTATACTTAATTGACTCTAAAATGCTGTTAATTATAAATTATACTATTACCTTTTACATCCCAAGAAAGAAAAAGTAGCTGCCAATTAAACTGTCGTGCACTTACTGTAAATCATATCTGATTTCAGAGTTGTTTAAAATGTGCATCTTAGAATCAATGATACGCAATATTGCCCTACATTCCCTGCACTGTTAGGTTAAAAATAAAATTTTTCAGAATCTGTGGAATGTTTCATATTTCTGTGGTGACTTCTAGTCTAGCTGCTATTGCCTTTCATGTTGCTGAACTGTTTCAATTTGCAACCATGGCGCCTCGGATAAACCTCATTGGCTACGGTACTGCCACTGTGCAAAACTCACATCACTGAGCTGTTACTGCACCAGCCTGTGAGAGTGAAAGGGACTGATCTGGGAAGGATCTGAGAGAAAACCCCCAAACAGTACATGGTGTGAGGGAAGATGCATCAGGGTGGGAATGAATAGGAAAGAAAATCTATCTCTAGAACCAATCTGTGTGACTACGAGGTGCCTTGGAACATGTAGAGAGCTTTCTAATCCCCCTGAATGACCAGCGAAGCTAGGTAGGAACATAATGTTAGGCATCTTCAGTACTTTGGATAGGCTCTTCTGCTCTTTATTGCTGGCCAGTGAAGGCCTCCATGGACTAACATTTCATTTCCAATTACTGTGTGTGGTACCTAGTCAGACTGTGGTAGAGGGAGACAGGGGAGTGGTTAATTGGGTTCAGATTGGAAACTGTTGGAAGCCATTTGGTTATTTTACAGTGGAACTACTGGATGAAGTAGAACAAGGTGTGATGAGAGAAAAGGCATCTTCTGTCAGGTATGGTGGAATAATTTCCTTAATGATGATTTTACTCAAGTGTACACATTAGGGTAGAAAGACTTACCTCTAATTCATTAGCTGTGTAATTCCTCAAATGACCTAAGGTAATAGAAATGAGAAGAAATAGATGGATATTTGCTTCCATCTTTAGATGTTATCTTCAAATCAGTGTAAAAGCAGTGGATGAGTGGGTCCTCTATGAAATGGAGGTCCAGATTCTTTACCACCGATGTGTGGCAAAATCTGTGTAAGCATCAGCAACAAAGAACAAGTTCATCTGAGTGTTGTTTTTTGTAAGTGTAGTCTAAATACAGAAAGAACCAGGATGGGTGAAGGTGAAGACCTGAACATACGTGAGCCTCTTTCTCCTGCCTCTGAGGCACTAACCACCTCTCCGCTGAGTGACCTCAAGTACAGCCCATCAGGTGAGTACTGGGGCTCTGAATTGTTTAGTCTCTCTTCATTGTGGTTCACAACTCTTTAGAGTTGGCATAACTCTGGGTTAAGGTTCTATATGGAATACTCAGCTAGGCCATTGCTTCTAGGCTCTGAATTAAGTTAAAATATTGTGATTCATTTATTTATTTAATAATTGAGAGCACACTATATGCCAGACATTGGAGATACCAAAATATGGTATCTCTGCCCTCATTGAGTTCTGGTGCAGGAAACAGACACTAAATAAGATAAAGGAGAATAATATATAATATGCTAGTGCCAACTGCTAAGGAGAAAAAAATAGAAGGAAGAGAAGTCTGTGAAGAGGGTGGTTTTACAGTTTTAGGGTGTGCCGGACAGGCCTCACAAAAATGGTGACATTTGACCAAAAGCCTGAAGGAGATGAGGGATCGAGCTGTGTGGATATCTGGGGGAAATGTTTTTTAGGCAGAAAGAAGAATGAATATAAAGGCCCTGAGATAGGAACATGCCAGGATCTTGAGGGAACAGCCAGATCAGTGTGATCAGTGCAGTTGGAGCAAAAAGAGGTAGTTGGAGATGAAGTGGGGTAGGCATACCATGGAGGTCATTGTAGATGTCTAATACTAGACTGTCTGTTTACTATTTCTTTTGTTTTTTTAGACTGTTTTTGTTTACTGTTGATTGATGATAGATCTTAAAATCTGGTAGTGTTAGTTCTCCAACTTTGTTCTTTTTCAGAGTTGTTTTGGCTATTTGGTATTTTTTCCCTATTCATTTCCCTATGAATTTTAGAATCAGGTTGCCAATTTCTACCAAAAAAAAAAAATCCACTGGAATTTTTACTGGGATTGCAATGACTCGATACATCAGTTTGGGGAATATTGGCATCTTAACAATATTGAGTATTCCAGTCTATTAACCCAGTATATCCCTCTATGAGATCTTTAATTTCCCAACAGTGTTTTGTACTTCTCGGTGTATAAGTCTTATACATCTTTTGCTGTGTTTATCCCTAAGTATTTCATATTTTATACTATTATCAATGGTATTTTAAAAAATACTTCTACTTCCTATTGCATGGTTTTGAGCAGAAGAGTAACATGATCTGACTTCTGTTTTAACAAAGTTACTCTAGATACTGTATGGATACTGAGAGAGGAGGAAGGTAAAAGCATGAATACCTATTAGGCTATTGAAATAATTTTAAGGCAAATTGATATGGTAGCTTGGACCGTAGTGGTAGCAGTATGGTTGGTAAAAAGTAGTGGACTTCTGGATGTATGTTGAGGTGTAGCCAACACAGTGTACTCGTGTATTAGATGTGGATGTGAAAGAGGAGAATCAAGAGTGACTTTGGGGGTTTGGGTCTGAGTAGCCTGAAGTATGGAGTGCTATTCAACTGACCTGGGAACCATTCTGGGCAGAACAGGTTTTGGGAAGATGATTAGGAGTTTAGGTCCACCGAAGTTTGAATGTCGGCCTAGAGAGGAGGAGAAAGGTCTGAGATGGAGATACAAATGTAAGAATTCGCCAGTAGATGATATTTACAGTCTTGAGACTAGATGAGATCACTAGGAGAGTGAGTATGGATAGAGAAAAAGAGGTACGTGGACTGTGTCCTCTGCCACTCCTAAGTTTTAGAAGTTGGAGATGAAGAGAAACTATATGGTATGCTATACTTCTAATCTCTTAAATTACATGATTTAAAACCATAATTAAGGACCCAGAGAATTCCAAAAGTGTGAACTATGGCCCATCTCCAGGACTGATTTATTTTAAACCATTTGCTTTTATTATGAACATCCTTTTAAAAGTGCATGTCTTGAAATATTTAAGACATAAATCTATGAGGAAGGAAACATTACTGGATTTTCACAGGAAATGATTAAATAGTCTAATTCATAAGATTATCATTGGTGGGGCTTTTATTTATTCTCATTTGAGAAACAGGATGCTAGAGTGTTCACTGTGTGTTGGGCTGACACAGGTGATAATGAAATAACACTAGACCTTTGAGCTGCAATAGAGGAGGAGTTTATGAGGATGGCTAAAATGAGTGGGAGGGTTATTCTATTGCCAAGGAAGACAAATGTGTCTATTACCATCATTCTCCTGCAGAGGAAGAGGAGGTGACATATACAGTCATTGATCAATTCCAGCAGAAGTTTGGTGCTGCAGTAAGTATTGCCCTTGATCATTCCGAGTATTGTCTGCATATGGGTATCATGTTTATATTTCATAAATTTCTCTGTTACTATAAGATCATTAGTGCTTTCCCTAATAAATTCCCAATAAAATATCTGAGTGCCTGCTAAATGTCAGGTATTGTTCTGAAGTCTAGGGTAAAATAATAATAAAGACAAAGTTCTAGCCACCAAGGAGTTTTTTTTTTCTTTCAAGATTTATTTATGTATTTAAGTAATCACTACACCCAGTGTGGGGCATGAACCCACAACCCCAAGATCAAGAGTTGCATGGTCTTCCGACTGAGTCAGCCAGGCACCCCAAGGCGTTTACATTTTATTGCAAGAAAATAAACAAACAATGTCTATCAACTGGTGATAAGTGTTATGAAGAAAAATAAAGTGTGGTTTGAAGAGTAGAGGAACAAGGAGTTCCTATTTTATGTAGGGTGGACAGAGAAAATCTCTGTGAAGAGGTGACATTGGAACAGACGTTTGAAAGAAGTAACAGAGCTAGTCATGTAGATATTCAGCTAAAGAACTTTTAAAAAGCATGATTAGCGAGTGCAAAGGCCCTGAGCTGAAGCACACTTAACTTGTGTGGAGGAACAGCAGGGAGGCAGGACCACGGTGAAGAGAGTGGTAGGAAATGGAAGTGGTCAGGAGGCAGATCGGGTAGGGTTTTTTGGACGTGGTAAGGAGTTTGAGTTTGACTTGAGTAAGAAGGAAAGCCATTGGCAGTTTTAGAGGAGAGTCTGAAATATTTTTACTATATTTTGAAAAGTCCATTCTACATGCTCTGTTTAGGCAATTTCTCTATAATCATTTATGAATTTCAGACATGACAGTAACTATTCAGCCCAGCATACAGTTCACAGGGGAGTCATTAAGCTTCTAGACGCAAGCTTATGCATTTCTTTAAGGGAGAGTTAGCTTTCCACAGATTCTTTTTTCTCTAACCACTTAAGTAAGATACAGTTCACATACTATTAAATTCACCGATTTAAAATGTATAGTTCACTGGATTTTAGCATATTCAGAGTTGTACATCCATCACAATGAATTTTAGAACATTTTCTTTCTTTCTTTTTTTTTTTAAGATTTTTGTTTTGTTTTTAAAGTAATCTCTACACCCAATGTGGAACTTGAACTCACAACCCTGAGATCAAGAGTCACATGCTCGGGCGCCTGGGTGGCTCAGTTGGTTAAGCGACTGCCTTCGGCTCAGGTCATGATCCTGGAGTCCCGGGATCGAGTCCCACATCGGGCTCCCTGCTCGGCAGGGAGTCTGCTTCTCCCTCTACCCCTCCCCCCTCTCATGTGCTCTCTCTCATTCTCTCTCTCAAATAAATAAATAAAATCTTTAAAAAAAAAAAAAAAAGAGTCACATGCTCTACTGCCGGAGCCAGCCAGGTGCCCCCCTAGAACATTTTTGATACCAACAAAAGAAACCCTAGTCTTCATAACTATCACCTCCATGCCTCCCCCCACCGTCCCCCAGCCCTTGGCAACCAATAATCTATTTTTTGCCTCTATGGATTTGCCTGCTTAGGACATTTCACATATTATTTTTATTTAGAGAGAGAGCATGCACATGTGAGCGGGGGAGGGGCGGAAGGCAAGGGAGAGAGAGACTCTTAAGCAGGCTCCATGCCCTGTGCAAAGCCTGAGGAGGGGCTCCATCTCACAACCCTGTGATCATGACCTGAGCCGAAACCAAGAGTCAGACACTTAACTGACTGAGCCACCCAGGGGCCCCTAGGACATTTCATATAAATGGGATCATACAATATGTGGTCATTTGTGACTGGTTTCTTTTGCTTAGCATGTTTTCATGGTTGATCTGAGTTATAACATGTATCAGTAAATTTCACTTATTTCTGTTGCCAAATAACATTCTTTTATATGGATATACCATATTTTATCCTTTCACCATTTGGGTTCTTCTACTTTCTGGCTATTATGAATAACGCTGCTATGAACATTCATGTACAAGCTTTTGTTAGCACATAGTTTTCATTTCTCTGGGATAGATACTTAGGAGTGGAATTGCTGGGTCATATAATAACTCTGTGTTTAACATTTTGAGGATTGGCCATTGTTTTCCAAAGCTGCTACACTGTTTTACATCCCCACCAGCAGGATTCCAACTTCTCCACATTCTCACTAACACTTGTTATCTGTCATTTTGATTATAGCTACATTAGTAGTGTGAAGTGGTATCTCAGTGGTTTTGATTTACATTTCCCTGATGGCTAATAATGTAGAGTATTTTTCATGTACTTGTTGGATGTTTATATATCTTCTTTGGAGAAATTTCTATTCCTTTGCCCATTTTTAAGTAGGCTCTACTCCCAATGTGGGCTTTAAACTCACAACCCTGAGATTAAGAGTCACATGCTTTACCAACTGAGCTGGCCAGGTGCTCCTCCTTTGCCTTTTTTTTTTTTTTTTTTAAGGAGCCTCCACACCCAGCGTGGAGCCCAACATGAGGCTTAAACTCATGACCCTGAGTTCAAGACCTGAGCTGAGATCAAGAGTCAAACACTTGACGAGCTGAGCCACCGAGGTGCCCCTTTTGCCCATTTTTAAATTGTGTTGTAAGAATTCTTTATATATCAACAGATTCTTCAAAGGGCCCAACAACAACGAAAAATGGGATAAGAAACCGGAAATTTGAAGAGGTAGTTGGAAATTCTTGTCAATAGAGAAGTGCAGCTTTTGTTCCCAGTTCCACAGCCTTCTTGCTGTTGGTTGAGGGTAGAACTGAAATTCAATCCCCCTTTTTCATCATTGATGGAAAATACTCAATGTAGAAATATTCTGTGCTCACTAAAGGAAGATATCGTGCTAGTGAAAGTTACCGTGCCCTTCTTTCTCGAGTAATTTACCTACCTGTAAAATGGGGAGAATCTTGTATCGTGTAGGTATTTTCATAGATTATGGGTTAAGGATTTTAGAATGATATAATGTTTTGAAATAGGATAAGATTATAATCAAAGATCAGCATGTGTTCCTGTAATACCACTATATCAGTTTTGAGTAACTTAATGAACCTACGACTTTAAGGGACCTGTTGAGTTCTTGTGTCTCTCATTCTAAATAGTATAAACTGTGGGAATCAGCCACTACATGAGTTCCCTTCAGGTACAGTAAACTGCCCTGTGTTAGGGCACTGTTCTTTGCATGAGGAATCTGATCATAAAGATAAAAATCTGGTCATAAAGATAGAAATTTTTTGCTGTAGCATCAGTGGTAACACAAGGTACCTGAGTTTTCAACTTCTATTAGCATTTAGGATATGAATGATTTATTTTCCAGTTGTGTTATAATTTTGCAAAAACAAAAAAGAAATTAGAAATATTCAGTGTGCTCTGTGTGTGTGTGTGTGTGTGTGTGTGTGTGTGAAAAAGAGAAGCTGACTTGTGTTTTGGATTAGTCCAGTTTTGTACATTTAAAACATAGTATCCACTTTGGGCTTTTTTTTTTTTTTTTAAGATTTTATTTATTTATTTGACAGAGAGAGAGCACAAGTAGGCAGAGCGGCAGGCAGAGGGAGAGGGAGAAGCAGGTTCTCTGCAGAGCAGGGAACCCGACGTGGGGCTCGATCCCAGGACCCTGGGATCATGACCTGAGCTGAAGGCAGATGCTTAACCAACTGAGCCACTTAGGTGCCCCTATTAACCACTTTATTAATTGCTAGCCATTTTACTTGTGCCATTCATGATGTCATAATCGCAACATTTATTCTCTGGAGCTTTCCTTCCTTTTTCTCACCAGATGCTCCACATCAAGAAGCAGAGTGTCCTGAGTGTGGCAGCCGAAGGTGCTAATGTGTGTCGTCATGGGAAACTATGTTGGCTTCAGGTAAAAGATATTTTCAACTTTTTATTTTGAAATAATTGTGGATTCACTGACAAATTGATTTTGTCTTCTTTATGTCACCTCAGTGTCACTATCCTATAACTTGTTTGGAATGTCTTTCACTCTTCTAGTACTGAGTTTATTCTTTTCAAGAGGAAAGAGCTTCTGTCTGTTCATAGGTTCACTTTTATAACCATCATTGCTGTCTCACAGGCTCTGCTTGAGGTCTTTCCCAGCTCTTTTCTCTCACCTTAGATATGTGAAGAATTTTAGGGGCGGCTAGCTAGCTTAGTCAGTGGAGTTTGCTACTCTTGATCTCGGGGTTGTGGGTTCAACTTCCATGTTGGGTATAGAGATTACTTAAAAATAAAATCTTTATTGATTTTGAACTCACAACCCTGAGATCAAGAGTTGCATGCTGGGGGCGCCTGGGTGGCTCAGTCGTTAAGCGTCTGCCTTCGGCTCAGGTCATGATCCCAGGGTCCTGGGATCGAGCCCCGCATCGGGCTCCCTGCTTGGCGGGAAGCCTGCTTCTCCCTCTCCCACTCCCCCGCTTGTGTTCCCTCTCTAGCTGTCTCTCTCTCTGTCAAATAAATAAATAAATAAATCTTTAAAAAAAAAAAAAAAGAGTTGCATGCTGTAGGGGCACCTGGGTGGCTCAGTCGTTAAGCGTCTGCCTTCAGCTCAGGTCATGATCCCAGGGTCCTGGGATCCCGGGGTCCTGGAATCGAGCCCCACATCGGGCTCCCTGCTCCGCAGGAAGCCTGCTTCTCCCTCTTCCACTCCTCCTGCTTGTGTTCCCTCTCTCGCTGTGTCTCTCTCTGTCAAATAAATACAATCTTTAAAAAAAAAAAAGAGTTGCACACTCTACCAATGACCAGACGCCCCCAAAATAAAATCTTAAAAAAATATATATGAAGATTTTTTTTATATATGAAGAATTTTTATCTTTCTTTCTGGTTGGTAGCGTTCCACAGCAGGATTCTGCCACATCATTTTCATTTTCCTGGGCCTGGGAGTTGTCGGGTGAGGGTCCCCATTGTGTCAAAAGAAGTTTGTAGTGAGCCTCAAATAGCTATAGGTTGGGCAGCCACCTTTGGATCAAACTCAGTAGCATCAGTTTTTAAGGGGGGTGGGGGAGCCAAGAAAGCAGACTGAATCCCCAACCAATGTCTTCTGTTCTTTGAATTGGGACCTACCTCCACCTACTGAGAGACTATATTTTATTATGATTGGCAGTCTGCCCACTTCTCAGGGCTACATCGAGGTATCTACCCTAAATAATTCAAAATACAAAAAAAAATATGTGAGAACCTAGTGATCTTGGCATCATTTTCTGGCAAAAAATCAGAAACCACTTAAGTAGTTAACAGTAGGAAACATTACTGTAGATTTGATAGATCTTATGCAGCTGCCAAAAATTGATGACGAGTGCAATGTAGAAAAATGTTTGCAAAGTTCTGAGTGGAAGAAAGCAGGATATAGATTGGAATGCATATTATCAGAGCCATATACATTGTTTGCATATGAAAAATGGAAGGGAGTATTGTATGGCATGCCTTGGCTCACTGAAGAAATGTCTAAGCCATCCATGGGCTTGGTTCTGTTCTAGTTGATGCATGTGCAGTGGTGAATCCCGCATAATCTCTCCTCTCACAGAGTTTGCAATCTAGCAGAGAATTACTTTTCAAACTTTTTGAAAATCTGAAAAAATTAAGTTTTTATAATTAAGGAGGTAGAGAAAAAGAGCAAGGAGTAACTATTTTAGGTATCCTGTTCTAGCAAACAACATGAAAGGTCCAAGAATGGGTGTCAGGTAGACCTGGCAATTGTAGCTGTATCAACACTTAGCTCCTAAAATGACAAAGATGACATCAGACTGCCCTGTCGCTGGTTCTGTAGACCTATTAGGGTCTCTTTGCCTTCATTCCCTGACTCAGTAGATGATCCAGCTATAGTACTGCCTTTGTGAATTTTATGATCAGAAACAATCGAAAATTCTCATGATTATATAAAATTGATCTAAAAAAACAGTGTCTCACATCCTACCATTTGTGTCAGTTTATTTGTTGCCTACTGAAAACTGCTAGAGAGGGGCACCTGGGTGGTTCAGTCGGTTAAGCATCTGCCTTTGGCTCAGGTCATGATCCCAGGGTCCTGGGATGGAGCCCTGAGTTGGGCTCCCTGCTCAGCAGGGGAGTCTGTTTCTTCCTCTCCCCCTGCTCATGCTCTCTCTCTTTCAAATAAATTAATAAAATCTTCTAAAAAAAAAAAAACTGCTAGAGAGCAGGGATCTTCTCTTTTTTTTTTTTTTTAAAGATTTTGTTTATTTATTTGAGAGAGAGCACATGAGAGGGGGGAGGGTCAGAGGGAGAAGCAGACTCCCTGCCGAGCAGGGAGCCCGACGCGGGACTCGATCCCGGGACTCCAGGATCATGACCTGAGCCGAAGGCAGTCGCTTAACCAACTGAGCACCCAGGCGCCCAGGGATCTTCTCTTATGAGTAATTTTATGTAACACCCAACACAACCCTGCATATTATGAGACTCAGAGAAATAGCATGTTGTGTTATCAACAATGAAATGCTGTTCATTCCTCTTAAACCTATAATCCTTTGAGTATTAAAATGTCATGGGTGAGATGTAAAACATTAAATTTAGGACTGTAAAAAGCAAAAGGCTATATCCACCAGCTTGTCTCTTTCTGTGATTGAAAAATCACAATGAGGGGCACCTGGGTGGCTCAGCTGATTAAGCGTTTGACTCTTAATTTCAGCTCAGGTCATGATCTTAGGGTCGTGGGATTGAGCCCCGTGTCAGGCTCTGCACTTGGCATGGCGTCTGCTTGAGATTCTCTCTCTCCCTCTCCCACTCCCCCTGCTCATGCTCTCTCATAAGAAAGAAAGAAAGAAAGAGAGAGAGAGAAAGAAAGAAAGAAAGAGAAAAGAAGAAAGAAAAGATCACAAATGATAATTTCTTTTCTTTTTTTTTTTGTTTAAGATTTTATTTATTTATTTGAGAGAGAGAATGAGAGACAGAGAACATGAGAGGGGGGAGGGTCAGAGGGAGAAGCAGGCTCCCTGCCGAGCAGGGAGCTGGATGCGGGACTCGATCCAGGGACTCCAGGATCATGACCTGAGCCGAAGGCAGTCGCTTAACCAACTGAGCCACCCAGGTGCCTGATAATTTCTTTTCTTAAGATCAATTTAAACTTGTTTTCCCTACGAATCACTGAATGCCTATTGTTTTCTTTAATTTTTTTTTTTTAAAGATTTTATTTATTTATTTGACAGAGAGACAGCGAGAGCAGGAACACAAGCAGGGGGAGTGGGAGAGGGAGAAGCAGGCTTCCCGCCGAGCAGGGAGCCTGATGTGGGACTCGATCCCAGGACCCTGGGATCATGACCTGAGCCGAAGGCAGACGCTTAACGACTGAGCCACCCAGGCGCTCGCCTATCGTTTTCTTTAAAAGTGAGGGTGTGAAATATTTTATCACATATCTTTGTTGATCCTCAGATCCCCTTCCTTAGTTCTTTTATATCCTATAATATATGTGTCTAAATGGTCTATTGTAGGTGGCCACAAATAGCCGAGTTTACTTATTTGACATTTTCCTTCTGGGAAGTCGTGCTTTCAACAATGGACTTCAGATGATATTAGAAGACAAGAGAATTTTGAAGGTGAGTGGGTAGGCTGATTCCCCCACTAGTAAGATTAGCAATCAGGATCTAATTACTCTGTCTTCTGATTCCTTAGGTTATCCATGATTGTCGTTGGCTTTCTGATTGCCTCTCTCATCAGTATGGAATTTTGCTGAATAATGTCTTTGACACACAGGTACAAGCAGGGATTCAGTCCAGCATATGTGGCTCTTATAGAAAATAGGCCTCATTTGGTGAGTGATTGAGTCTTTGTGTGTGTGTGTGCCTCACTCCTGCCTTCTTCTTCATGTAAATTGTCTATACAATAGGTGAGAACATTTGATGAACTATAAAAGCACTACAGAAAAGTTACTTACAAGTATTTAGGGGGTGCCTCGGTGGCTCAGTCGGTTGAGCGTCTGACTCTTGATTTAGGCTCTGGTCATGATCTCGGGGTCCTGGGATGGAGCCCTGTGTTAGCGAAGAGTCTGCCTATCTCTCTCCCTCTGCTGCTCCCCCTGCTTGCATGCTCTTTCTCTCTCAAATAAATAAATAAATAAATCTTTAAAAAAAAAGAAAGTATTAGGGATTTTTCCCCTCATTTTGCTCCGGAATTTGTCAAATAAGAAGAAAGCTCTGGGGCACCTGGCTGGCTTAGTAAGTAGAGCATGCAACTCTTGATCTTAGGGTTGTGAGTTCAAGCCCCACACTGGGTGTAGAGATTACTTAAAAAAAAAAAAAAAATCTCAAAATTAAAAAAAAAAGAAGCAGCAAGATCCATACTCTATAGCATTCAGAAACTTGAACAACTTGGGTCATTCAGAAGTCTGACATGAGGTAGTGTGAGGTGAACAGTCACAATCTGTGTGTTTAGTGTTAGTGTGAAGTGAACAGTCACAATCTGTGCCTTTAGCTCATATTTATCAGTTAAGACTAATAGCTAGTTAGCATCTAGCTCAGAGATGCAGGTTGTCTTAGATACGCCCCAAAGCCTATTCTGGGCCAAAATAGTCTGATTATCTATGATTCTTCTCTGCCCTAGAGAATCCTAGAGAAATGAGAAGTCCTTAGTCTATACTAACTAGCTCTTAGAGCTGATGTGGGTTTCTGGTTTGGCTGTGAGAATAGTAAAACCACTAGCTTTCATTATGTCTTCTTTATGTTCTTCTAGTCTTCTAGGTTTATGCCAGTCAAAGGGGACATGTTGAATACACAAGTCTAGAGCCTTTGGAGAGGGGTTAAAATAATGAGTTAGCCAGTTATTTTTTTTTATTATTATTATTTTAAGTGATCTCTATACCCCTCGCCAATATTTTTGAGCAGAAATTCCTAAAAGTTCAACTTTATGTCATTAAATATAGTTCAAGTTTGCTCTTTATGTATCTTTCCATAATGAACTTTATGCCACTTCTCTTGTTGACATGTTTCTTGGGCCTTCTTTCAGGATTTTTCACTATATAGATATTATTTCTAGCTTACTCCAAAATGTAAGAGAATTGTTCATTGTTTCCCTGAGACCGTTAGGTTTCTTGATTAGACCCCATATGAACACGTTGGCACATCTTTCCATATTCACTTTTCAGATTTCCATATTACAAGAAGCAAGAATTCAGAATTTTTCCAATTTTTTTCCTTTAACACAGTGTATTCGTTTCTTATTGCTATTGTAACAAATCACAAATTTAGTAGGTTAAAACAACATAAATTTACTCTCTTACAGTTCTGGAGGTCAGAGCTCTAAAATCATTTTCACTGAGCTAACATCAAGGTGTCAGCAGGGCTGGTTTCTTTTGGAGACTTTGAGGGAAGTCTGTTTCTCTGCCTTTTCAGCTGTTACCTATGTTCTTTGGCTTGTGGCTCCTGCCAACTCGAAAATGTACCACTGCTTGCAATCACAAATTGGTAGTCAGTTGGTGGGCTGGACCAAGAAAACACACATAAACCCAGTGACATTTGGCCCTGGCCAGCAACTAGAGGGAGATAGATAGTTATATTAGTATATAGAATTCTTTTTTATTTTAGTTTAGTTTTGGCAAAACTAATTTTTCCTGAAGTGCTTAGGACCCTGTTGGTGTTTGCTCAGTGGCAGTGGCGTGGGGGTAGAAGGTTAAGAAGGAGCAGTATTGAGGGCTAAAGGAATCAAGAAGTCTGGAGAACTTTGAGTTTTGCATGGAAATGAGGAGAGTTGGCATGAATGTTTTCTAGAGTATCGACTTTTTTTTTTTTAAGATTTTTTTAAAATTTATTCATTTGACAGAGATATATATAGAGAGAGGAGCATGAACTGGGGAGAGGGGGAAAGGGAGAAGGGGAAGCAGGCTCCCTGCTGAGCCAGGAGCCCGATGTGGGGCTCGATCCCAGGACCCCAGGATCATGACCTGAGCTGAAGGCAGATGCTTAACCATTTGAACCACCCAGGCACCCCTAGAGTACTGACTTTTTTTATTGAAACCTTTTTATTGGTCCCAGTAAGAGAGGACTGCCCACTGATTGCCCTGAAGTTGAAGTGTTGTGACAGCACATTTGTCTTTTATTTATTTATTAAAGATTTTATTTATTTGACAGAGAGAGACACAGAAAGAGAGGGAACGCAAGCAGGGGGAGTGGGAGAGGGAGAAGCAGGCTTCCCGAGGAGCAGAGAGCCTGATGTGGGGCTCGATCCCAGGACCCTGGGACCATGACCTGAGCCAAAGGTAGATGCTTAACGACTGAGCCACCCAGGCGCCCCCACATTTGTCTTTTAATAGTACTATGATATTGGCATAAAGAAGTGTGAATGTGTATGCAAGAAAGAAAGTAAGATAAAAATTGTATTTGTATTTGGGGAATGACATAATTTTCTTTTTTTCTGGGAAAGAATCCCCTTAAAAAACCTCTAAGTTTTAGAAAAGGTGGTCAGTTGATTCTGAATTGTTTGTTTTCAAATAAAGAGTTTGTTCGTTTGTTAAAAAAAAAAAAAAGCACCACTGCAGTCTCTGCTTCCATCACCCCATCACCTCCAGTGACTGTAGCCAAATCTCCCTGAACCTCCCTGTTATTACATTTAGGACCCACCCAGATAATTCAAGATAATCTTCCTATCTCAAGAGCCTTAACTTAATCACTCCTGCAAAGTCCGTTTTGCCTTATAAAACAATGTTGACGTGTTCGAGAGGTTAGGATGTGGGTGTCTCTGGGGGCATTATTTAGCCTACCATACACAGATAAATAATTAGTCCAATTCTTAATTTTTTTAAAGATTTTATTTATTTATTTGAGAGAGAGAGAGAGCATACACGCAAGCATGGGGGAGGGGCAGAGGGAAAGGAAGAAGCAGACTCACTTCTGAGCAGGGAGCCCGATGTGACGCTCCATCCCAGGACCCTGAGATCATAACCTGAGCCGAACAGGCAGATGCTTAACTGACTGAGCCACCCAGGCATCCCAAGATTTTATTATTTTTAAGTCATTTCTTCACCCAACATGGAGCTCAAACTCACAACACTGAGATCAAGAGTTGCATGCTCTACCAACTAAGCCAGCCTGGTGCCCCTCCAATTCTTAATTGTATTAGCTTTCCTTACCAAAACTTTGCCAGAGTTGCTGATAAGTAATACAAATAATTCTTGAAATTTATCTTCCTTTTTCCCATTGCCTAAAGGCACCAAAGAGTAATAGATAACCATAAGGCAGGCAAACAAAAGGAGTGGAAGAGAAAATAGACAAAGATACATTAAAGTTGGATGATCCTTTTTTTTTTCTTTCCTAATTTTTCGGAATTAGTTGACTGAACGATTTTTCTGATGGCATTTTCTATCATGTGGGTCCTTGGGGAGAATGGTATTTAAAGACATTTTTCTAAATATATTTCTGCTATTTCTGCCATGAGATAGCTATGTATTCTACAGACAGGTTTTTATTTTGTTTTGTTTTGTTTTTTATGCCACAGGTAGCAGATGTCCTTCAATTTTCCATGGAAACAGGTGGCTTTCTTCCAAACTGCATCAGTTCTTTACAGGAGAGTTTAATCAGACACCTTAAGGTAGCCCCTAAGTATCTCTCCTTTCTGGAAGAAAGACAAAAATTGATTCAGGTGAGTACTGAAGATGTCCCATTAATTTTTCCAAGGGTTTTGTGAGCAGGATCATCAGCATATTATATAGACATATGCTAGTATGTAAGCATATGAGCATTGCCAAAATTTTAGCTGGTTCAAATGGTAAGTTTGTTTGTGATTTCAAGTGGATAAAAGCCAGGATACAGATTTAGTGGTTATCAGAAAGTACTCTGGAGTAAATTTACAATTCTCCAGGGGAGGTTTTTGTTGGGATCGTTGTTTAAGGTGATGGAACAAAAACCATCCCAATTATTTCTCTCAAAGTAAGATAAATTTTCCTTAGCTCCTAATAGCCTCACCTGCACACTTAGGTCATGACAATATTGGCTACAGTTTTGGTCCTATAATCAAGTCTACTCTCTTCAGTTTTGAATGAGAAGCCCTGATCGATTGATCGATGGATTGAGCTTTCTCTCTCTCTCTCTCTCTCTCTCTCTCTCCCTCCCTCCCTCCCTGTCACCTTGTCTTTTCCCTCTCACGTAAGCACACTAAATGTATACATACATAAGGGGTGTGTGTGTGTGTGTTTTCAGAATATACTGTCATTGAAGAAAATGATGGTAATAGTGTTTTAAGTTAAGCAACTCTTAGATAAACAGTTATCTTTAAAGTTTTGATTATTATTCAGAGAAAATTGTTTTGGTATCTCTAGGAAAATCCAGAAGTGTGGTTCACACGACCTCTTTCACCTTCCCTACTGAAAATTTTGGCCCTGGAATCTACCTACCTACTACCCCTTCGTTTGGTACTCCTGGATGAGATGATGTCTGACCTAACCACACTTGTGGACGGGTACCTAAACACCTACCGGGAAGGGTCTGCAGATCGCCTGGGAGGCACAGAGGTAGGTGTGGCTCTCTGTGGCTGTGTTTTTAGGACTTCCATTCCTGCCCCATTGCTCGTGGAGGGCACAGTGATACCCCCTCTTCACAGCTACAGCAAATCACGAGGCTGACTTGGCAATAAATCTTTGAAGCGGCTATAGCTTGGGCTTCATTCATCTCCTTGAGTACTTTTTCACAATATTAAGTTGTATTTTGTCAAAGAATGGATAAATTTAAGATTTCATTACTAATTTATAAGAAGCCAGCACAACGTAACAGAACTATAGACCTGGAGTTGGCAAACTATTGCCTTAAGGCCACATCTGGCCCGCAGCCTGCTTTTGTACAGCTCACAAGGGAAGAATGCTTTTTATGGTTTTAAAGGATTTTTTTTTTTTTAACAAAAAGTATGCAACAGAGATCATTTGTAGCTAAAATAGTTACTGTTTGGCCCCTTATATAAAAGGTTGCCATCTGGGGACACCTGGCAGGCTCAGTCAGTGGAGCATGTGACTCTTGGTCTTAGGGTCATGAGTTTGAGCCCCGTGATGGGTGTAGAGATTGCTTAAAGGTAAAATCGTTCAAAAAAAAAAAAAAAAGGTTGCAGTCTGCTGCTATTGCTGCTATTAGCCCTTCTTACTTAGGAATACTGAAGCAAAATCCTAAATAAAATAATAGCATTTTTGATACGATCCCTACTTAGATGTATTATACTTTTCTTTTAATGTGTTGCTGATTTCTACTTGCAAGCATGGTACAGTGTTAGGAAACTCTCCATTTTCCTAGAACAAAGAAAGTCTTATTATCTCATATATGCTGAAAAAAATATAACCTTTCTGTATGTTGCTCTCACTGTTTAGCAAAAAAAGAGCAACATAAAAATCCTTGCATACCTTGTTCAATTGGAGAATTTAAATGTCTTTTATTTATCATTGTAAAACCAAGGAGTTTTATAACTTTTTATATTTTGCTCTCACTGTTTAATGCTGAAAAAAATGTGATAATATCCTATATACATTACTGATTAAAGTTGGAATACATGATAAAACATATCGCAAGCAAGAAGTCTACATAAAGTTTGGGCGCCTGGGTGGCTCAGTTCGTTAAGCGACTGCCTTCGGCTCAGGTCATGATCCTGGAGTCCCTGGATCGAGTCCCGCATCGGGCTCCCTGCTCGGCAGGGAGTCTGCTTCTCCCTCTGACCCTAACCCCTCTCATGTGCTCTCTCTCAAATAAATAAATAATAAAAAAAAATCTTTAAAAAAAAAAAAGTCTACATAAAGTTTGATTGGAAGCACTAAAAGCATTCCCATTAGTATCAAGAAAATACAAAAATTGTGATTACCACTACCACTTTAACATTTTTTGAAGCTATTAGCCAATTAAATTTTTTTTTAAGATTTTATTTATTTATTTGTCAGAGAGAGATAGCACAAGCAGGGCGAGTGGCAGGCAGAGGGAGAAGTAGGCTCCCCCCTGAACAGGGATCCCTATGTGAGGCTTGATCCCAGAACCCTGGGATCATGACCTGAGCCGAAGGCAGATGCTTAACCGACTAAGCCACCCAGGCATCCTGCCAATGAAATTTGAAGGAAAAAAAAAAGGCAAACTATAAAAAATGAATAGGAGGAATCAAAATTATGACTTGCCTATGATACAACTGAAAACTGTAGAAAATCAATGGGAAAAGATTACTACAAACAAAAGAACAATTTAATAAAATGGGTACAAATATAACATGAAAATTGATAGTTTTCTTGCATCCATATACACAGCAAGAAAATATAATGGGAGAAAACATCTGTTTATAATTGTAACAAAAAGATAAATTACCTAGAAATAAATCTTACAAGAAATGTGAGATACAAAGAAAACATTAAAATATTACTGAATGGTATAAAAGCAGACTTAAATGAATGGGGACACTAAGCATTTTTAGCTATACATTACTCCTAAATTTACTTTTGAATTTAACTCTATTCCAAGAAAAATACTAACACCAGCATTATTTTGGCAAACTGTGATTATAGTGTTTATAAAGATAAATATATATAAATAAGAATAGTCCTGTCAGATATTAAGTCATATAAGTGGTACATTAAATAAAAATCATTTGTGGGGCACCTGGATGGCTCAGTTGGTAGATCATGAATCTCTTGATCTCGGGGTTGTAAGTTTGAGGCCCATGCTGGGTGCAGAGATTAGTTAAAAAAAAAAACAAAAAACAACAGTTTGTGACTGGTACATCTGTAGGCAGATCAGTGGAACATAGTAGAGAACCCAGCAGAAGATCCAATATATAGGGGCGCCTGGGTGGCTCAGTCGTTGAACGTCTGCCTTTGGCTCAGGGCATGATCCCAAGGTCCCGGGATCGAGCCCTTCATTGGTCCCTGCTCCACGGGAGGCCTGCTTCTCCCTCTCCTGCTCCCCCTGCTGTGTTCCCTCTCTTTCTCTGTGTCTTTCTCTGTCAAATAAATAAATAAAATCTTTTTTTTTTTTAAAGATTTTATTTATTTATTTGACAGAGAGAGACACAGCGAGAGAGGGAACACAAGCAGGGGGAGTAGAAGAGGGAGAAGCAGGTTTCCTGCAGAGCAGGGAGCCTGATGCGGGGCTCGATCCCAGGACCCTGGGATCATGACCTGAGCCGAAGGCAGACGCTTAACGACTGAGCCACCCAGGCGCCCCAATAAATAAAATCTTAAAAAAAAGATCCAATATACATTTGCCAGTATGGGGGCACCTGGGTGGCTCAGTCAGTTCAGCATCTGCCTTCGGCTCAGGTCATGATCCCAGGGTCCTGGTTATCAAGCATTGGGCTTCCTACTCAGCAGGGAGTCTGCTTCTCCCTCTCCCTTTGCCTGCCGCTCCCCCTGCTTGTGATTTCCCCTGCTATCTCTCTGTCAAATAAATGAATAAAATCTTTAAAAGAAAATATCTGCCAATATCGTTGGGATAAAGGTAGAATTTCCAATTAATGAGAAAAAGATAATCAAAAAATGGCTATAGGTAATTGACTAACCATTGTACGGGAGAAGAGTCAGAGTTGGATTACCAAAATAAATTCCTCGGATCAAGTATTTATGTAAATAATGGGATTATAAAATTATTAGAAAAAACAATTAAAAGAAAATTATTTCACAGTAAGGAATGCTTTTCTTCCCACCCCCCCACATTCATTGAAGAATAATTGACAAAATTAATTGTGTATAGGGTGTACCTTGTGATGATTTGATATACATATACATTGTGAAATGATTATCAAGACTAAGGTAATTAACATATCCATCATCTCACATAATTAACTCTGTGTGTGTGGTGAAAATGCTGAAGATCTGCTCTTAGCAACTTTCAAGTATACAATACCAAATTATTATAGTAAACATGCAATATATTCAATCCTCAGAATTTATTTATTTATTTTTTTACAGTTTATTTTTCTTGTAATTGAAAGTTTGTACCCTTTGACCTCTATCTCCCCCTTTTCGCCTCCCCCTAGCCGCTGGCAACCTCCATTCTATACTGTTCGTATGAAATCAGCTTTTTTTTTTTTTTAAAGATTCCACATATAAGTGATACCATACAGTATTTGTCTTTCTCTGTCTGGTTTATTTCACTTAGCATAATGCCCTTTAAGTGCATACATGTCACAAATGGCAGGATTTTCTGGCAGGATTTTCTTTTTTATGGCTAAATATTCCATTGTGGGTATATGTGTATATGTGTGTGTGTGTGAGATCTGTCTGTCTATCTATCTATCTATCTATCTATCTATCTATCTATCTATCTATCTATCTATCTCACATCTTTTTTATCCATTCATCCGTTGATGTAAACAGGTTGTTTCCATATGTCGGCTATTGTGAGTAATGCTACAGTGTAAAGGGAGTGCAGCTATCTCTTAAAGATAGTGATTTCATTTCCTTTGTATATATACCCAGATGTGGAATTGCTGGACTGCATGGTAGTTCTATTTTTAATTTTTTGAGGAACTTCCATACTGTTTTCCATAGTAGCTGTACCAATTTCTGTTCCCGCCAACCATGAATAAGGGTTCCCTTTTCTCCACATTCTTGCCATTATTTTGACAATAGCCATCCAAACATGTGTGAAGTGATAACTTATTGTGTTTGGGGTTTGCATTTACCTGATGATTAGTGATCCCAAACACCTTTTCATATACCTATTGGCCATTTTAATGTCTTCTTTGGAAATATGTCTATTCAGGTCCTTTGCTCATTTTTAAACTGGATGACCATTTGTGTTTTTGCTATGGAGTTGTATGAGGGAATGCCTTTCTATGCAATTCAGAGATACTCTGAACTCATAAAGGATTAATAAACTTGACTTAACATGTTTCTGTGGTGAAAGTACTATGATGAAAGTCAAAAGGCAAGCAACCTGGGAAAAATTATTTGCCTCATGTAACAAAGAGTATATATATATTTTTTTAAGATTTTATTTATTTATTTGAGACAGAGAATGAGATAGAGCATGAGAGGGTCAGAGGGAGAAGCAGACTCCCTGCCGAGCAGGGAGCCCGATGCGGGACTCGATCCAGGGACTCCAGGATCATGACCTGAGCCGAAGGCAGTCGCTTAACCAACTGAGCCACCCAGGCGCCCCAAGAGGATATTTTCTTAATATATTCTTTACTATAGCATTTATGTAATGACAGAATACTGGAAACAACTAACTATCCATCCATATGGATTTAGTTAAATAAATTATTGCATATCCATACAGCCTATAAGAATGCTAACAGGGAAAAATCCAAGACACATTTTTTAGTTTAAAAATTCAAGATGCATAATGCAATATATGTTAAGAAAAAAAAGAAGAAGATAGCAGGAGGGGAAGAATGAAGGGGGGAAATCGGAGGGGTAGACGAACCATGAGAGACGATGAACTCTGAAAAACAAACTGAGGGTTCTAGAGGGGAGGGGGGTGGGAGGATGGGTTAGCCTGGTGATGGGTATTAAAGAGGGCACGTTCTACATGGAGCACTGGGTGTTATGCACAAACAATGAATCATGGAACACTACATCTAAAACTAATGATGTAATGTATGGGGATTAACATAATAAAAAAATTAAAAAAAATAAAATTTAAAAAATTAAAAAAAAATTCAAGCTGCAGAAGAATATATAATACTATGTTACCATTTGTGTAAAAGAATTTTTAGAAAGAGTTATAAAAATAAATGGTTGGGGGAAAACTAAAATTGAAAAATGCAATGCAATGAAAAGATAAACATTTAGTAACGGATGTATATACACAAACATGATTACAGATGCATAGACTATCTGTGGGAGGCTACGTATGAAACTGCTTTCTAGAAGATGCACTCGCTAAGGCAACTGGGAACAGGTTGGAAGGGACACTTACTTTTCATTGTTAATCTTTACACATGCATACACACATGTTTTAACACGCAATGCACAACACACACACACATAAACTGTGGATTCAAAATATTTAACTTAATCGAAAATAATGCTACTATAGTTGAATACGCTAGAGGGAGCCATAAGAACACATTTGAATTGATCCTCACTTTGCTAAATACTGTTAAGTATAGCAGAAGTGATTTTAAGGACCATATTCAGAAGTTTAGTTATAGTAGACTTATTTTCCTGTTCTTTTCTTAGCCTACATGTATGGAGCTTCCAGAAGAACTGCTTCAACTCAAGGACTTCCAGAAGCAGCGCAGAGAGAGAGCTGCAAAAGAATATAGGGTGAACGCACGGGGCCTCCTAATAAGGACAGTGCTACATCCAAAGAAATCAGTGACAGAGACCGTGGGGAAAGTAGGGGTTTCCTTACTTTGTAAAAACTCTATGCTAGATGAAACTCCAAGTTTTACATCTCATCAGGATGTAAATTTGCTGAAAGAAGAATCTAAAAATAAACAAACTCCGACAGAACCTCAACATCTACCTTCCATGAAGGAAGAAACCAGTGAGGATTGTAACAACAAACTCATTTGCTCTGAGTCAGAGATACCCAGACAGCAGTTTCAGACAAATTTATCTTTGAAAGAGGAGATAGAACAGTTACTGATGGTGGAAAACAAGGAAGATCTAAAATGCACAAAACAAGAAGTTTCAGTGTCTCTTTCCCTTCCTCAGGAAACTGGAGTGTCTCCAAGTGACACCTTTCATCCTCTTAGAAAAGCTGTGCTTCCCACACTTCCTCCCTGTCCAGCCTTGGAGAAAACGGAATCTTGGATAAATCTCTCTCCAAATTTATCTTAGAGATGCGCGACTTATTCTTGAGACCATGAAGGTGGCTCATTTCCTCTACCAATAAGGCCTTCCTCAGTGCTTAAGTTTGTCATGTTGTAAATTTAGTTTTGCCTCAATCACAAAGAAAGGAAGGCTTCAGCAAAAATTATATCCTTTTGCTTACTCCTACATGCCTAGAATTTTATTAGAAGGGAATGAATAACTTAAATAATGGAAGAAGTAAATGTTTTGATTATGTCACTGTGCAGAAATGTTCCCAGTGGTCAGAGTGGTCAGAGTGAATGATTTCTCATAATTTGGGTTTAGAGGATTTGAGGAGGGGAAAATTCCTGGGCTTAGTATCTGGAAGAATCTATACTTTTAAACTTTTTTTTTTTTTTTTTTAATGTAAGCTCTATGCCCTAAGTGGGGCTCAAACTCACAATCCCAAGTTCAAGAGTTGCAAGCTCTACCAACTGAGCCAGCCAGGTGCCCCTACTTTTAAACTTTTGTTGTATTTTTTGGTTTGAAAGGGACTGGTAAAACTTGTATGGGTAAGTTTAAAAAAATTGGCACCTGATAACTACTAGTACTTTTTTTCTTTTTTTAAAATACTAACTCTAATTTGTCAATTATACATCAAAAAAGCTGAAAAAATACTGACTTTAGTCTTGAATTTTGATGTTTTGTCTGTCTTATGTCATAGACAAACACTAATTAATGTTATTACAGGAATCAATATCCCAGTTTTAATTTCTTTTAATTCCATTTATTTTTAGAAAGTTTTGTCCATTTTTGTAACAAAGCAGGTACTTCTTTTGAGTATGTCTGTTATGTAAACTTGAAGTTTGATTCCCCTCTATTTTCTTGGAGTTGGCATACTTTCTTTCATTTTTTTATTAAAAATTTTTTTTTTTTAATTTTATGTAGGCTCCACACCCAGTGTGGGGCTTGAACCTATGACCCTGAGATCAAGAGTTGCATTTTCTACTGATGGAACCAGCCAGGTGCCCCAGTTTGGTATACTTTCTTAGGGTGAAGGGAAGGCAACTTGTACTAAGCCCTTTTTATATTGAATACTTGCAAGTTGCTCACATTCTTTTGTGTACAATAACCAATAAACCTGTTGTGCTACTGGATTATCTCTTTTCTTCATTAGGTCACAGTAGGAATAAGGTGGAATATGTATAGATTTCTAGGTCTAGAGCCCAGCCTAAAAATGTATAAGTTGACTCCCATACAGGACTCTATTATTTATTGTACTTATGGGAAACTTTGGGACAACCTACAATTAGGAACATCCTTGTCTGCACTAGCCGATTCTGAGTGCACTGAAAAAATAGCTGTGCCTTTCCAAACTCCAGGATGCAGATCTAGTCTAAACTAAAGTTGAGGGCGGGTCCAAGAGCAGTCAGCTCATCCGTGCAGTTGTGGTGTCTCACTTTGTCCTTAGTTTAGAAGGTCACTTGGGGCCAAGGTGGTTTGTGGTTCATCTTGGGTGAATACATTTCAGGTTGAGCCCAGAATGTGGTTAATCTTGGCTTACTCTGGAAGGGGCATGAATTCTTGTGAAATTTCTAGAGTTGATTTAACTTCCTATGGAACCATTACATTATCATACACAACATATATACATAAAGGCTACAAAGAAAAACAAAATAGGGGCACCTGGGTGGCTCAGTCGTTAAGCCTCTGCCTTCAGTTCGGGTCATGATTCCAGGGTCCTGGGATCGAGCCCCGCATCGGGCTTCCTACTCAGCGGGAAGCCTGCTTCTCCCTCTCCCACTCCCCCTGCTTGTGTTCCTTCTCTCGCTGTGTCTCTCTCTGTCAAATAAATAAAATAAAATCTTAAAAAAAAAAAAAAAAAGAAAAACAAAATATTCTTCATATTCAAAAAAGGAATTCTTGTTTCATTAGGTATGTTGGCTATATTTGAGAATATAGGGTGCTGGGTGGCTCAGTTGGTTAAGCAACTGACTCTTGATATCAGCTCAGGTCTTGATCTCACAGTTGTGAGTTCAAGCCCCACGTTGGGCTCCACGCTGGGCATGGAGCCTACTTAAACAACAACAACAACAACAACACAAAAAAAAGAAATAAAAACCACTGGACTGTGTTAGGCCTTTGCTGTGCTGCTCAATATGGTAGGCACTAGTCATGTGTAGCTATTTAAATTTAAAATTAAATTAATTAAAATTAGAAATTCAATTCCTCATTTGCACTTGCCGTATTTCCAGTACTCAATAGTCCCATGTGCCCAGAGGCTATGTAGTATTGAATGTCACAGGTGAAGAACATTTCTATTGTTTGAGAAAGTTCTTTTGGACAGTGCTAGTTGAGAGGTACTTTGATTCCCAGAACTAAATGAGCCTTTTGGGTTTCTTCACAGTATTTTCTCAGTGAAACACTCATATACCTGGGCTCCATATCCTCATTCTAGGCTGGAGTGCCAACCTAAACCCCATGTATGCACCCAGCTCCTACCATGAAGTTCTGTTTTAGCTAGAGTGAAAAATTCATGCATTGTTCAAGCCCTGTTGCTGGTACTCTGTGCGATTATGCAGACTTCTTTTCTAAATTTTGCCCAGAATTTTGGGAAATCCTAGGTTCTTGTCCCAATCCACCACTGAGTTCTTTTTTTTTTTTTTTTAAAGATTTTATTTATTTGAGAGAGAGAGAGTGAGAAACAGCATGAGAGGGAGAGGGTCAGAGGGAGAAGCAGGCTCCCCGATGAGCAGGGAGCCGGATGTGGGACTCGATCCCAGGACTCCAGGATCATGACATGAGCCAAAGGCAGTCACTTAACCAACTGAGACACCCAGGCGCCCCACACCACTGAGTTCTTTACTTTGTATTTTCTAGTTGAGAGTTAATAAACCACACTACTTCGTTTCCCAAGCTCTTGGGGTCTTGTTTCAGTCTACACTAATTTCATGCATCTCTTCTACTCCGGTCTGACTTTTCTGGTATCACCTTTATGTACATGACCTACAATTAGAGCTTCTTACAAGTAATCTGACCCTTTTACTTTGGGAATTAGGAAATGGAGTTAAATGACTTCCTTGGGCAAAAATGCAGAGAATAGAACCAGTGTTGTTTTTTGGTCCATTCAGTGTTCTTTCAACTTTATGATGGAAAGTCACTGCAGCAGCTTTGCCTCCAATCTCGCTGTGGGCTTGGATAAATCCTAACATGACACAATAGAATTTCAATGCCCTACAGACCTTTCATTGTTTTGACACAAGGCAAGTCCCAGTAGCAAGCTGAGATGAGGCCTGGGTCAAAGTAGGGAGCCTCAGGGTGATTAGTGAGGTATACTTATCATAAAGGCATTTATTATAATAGTAACACAAATAAATACTTTACAGGAAATTTAGAGAATAAAGAGAAAAAAAATAACTATCATCCCACAGTATACAACCCTTCCTAGTATTTTGGCATTTTTCTTTCAATCTTCTTTCTTTTTTTTCTCTCTCTCTCTCTCCTCCCTCCCTCCCTCCCTCTTCTCTCTGTGCTCCCCCACACTTGAAACAGTCATATCATAACATAAATACACTTACTGTGCTTTTTATATCATGTATTTTTCCATTTCATTATCCTAACAGACAACAGTAGGTGTTTAATTTGGAATTTAATTTTACTATGTAGGTGTTTAATTTTAAAATTTATATACTATTAAATAGAATTTAGAAAATACAGGAAAATAAAAAATTTACTCTTATTTCTCTAACTCAACAGAAAAAGGTAACATTTTTGTTAATTCCAGTGTTTATGCCTAGGTTCCCCCCATATCGTTGTAATCATACATGTGTGAATATATTCTACCCTATGAGTGTTCTTCTATGCTGTTGCACAACCTTTGTTAAGATTTTCAATGACTGGGGCACCTGGGTGGCTCAGTCGTTAAGCGTCTGCCTTCAGCTCAGGTCATGATCCCGAGTCCCACATCGGGCTCCCTGCTCAGCGGGAAGCCTGCTTCTCCCTCTCCCACTCCCCCTGCTTGTGTTCCCTCTCTCGCTGTCTCTCTGTTGAAAAATAAATTAAAAAATCTTAAAAAAAAAAAGATTTTCAATGACTGCATAATATTTCTTTTTTTAAAAAAAAGATTTATTTGTTTAGAGAGTGAGCACGAGTGGGGAGAGGGGCAGAAGGAAAGAGAGAGAATCTCCAGCAGACTCCCCATTAAGCCCCAATGTGGGGCTCGATCCCAGGACCCTGAGATCATGACCTGAGCCAAAACCAAGAGCTGGACACTTAACTGATTGAGCCACCCGGGCACCCCAGTGACTGTATAATATTTCTAAGAGAATGCTGTATGGTTTATTTAACTATATTGTGGTACATTCAGCTTGTTTCCATTTCCTTATTTCATGCTTTTTCAAAGCTACCTCAAACCTTTTTCCATGTTTTGAATCATTCTGTTAGAGTGAAATTGCAGAAATAGAAACAGCAGGTCATAGAGGTTTTCTTGTTTCTGTTATTACAAAAAAATTTTTTAAAGCTCTTGCTAAGTTACTTTCCAGAAGTGTTAACCAATTATATTGCCACCTCCAATTTTTGTAATAATGATGTACCATTGAGAGCATTAGATTTTTTTCTTGAGAGACATGGCATACTTTTGACTTTCAAAATTCTAACTTCTTCATTTATACATCTGAAAGATTTCCTGTCATATTTTATAACTTACCTGCATTGGATATTATGAAGATTAATGAGAACATAAATATTGGGGACATTTGAAACCCAATAAATGTGCCCGATCTCTAAGTAAGGACATTATAGGTAAAATATTTAAATCATAGAAACCCTAAAATAAAATGAAAGTCTATATACTCATGATAAAGTGTATCTTGGAAATGTCTTCAGAGCTCTCTTTAGGGATATCATGGAAAGTGATGTTTACTGTTACATGAAACAAGAATCTTAGTGGCATTGGTAGGTTCACCCTAAGACACAGTTTGATACCTTCTGTTTCACATACTCTTGGGATTTGAGCCTGTGACTCTACAATTTAATACACCTACTCAAACAGGCAGAACTGTCAAACTGTAATCAAGGCATAATCAGCAATCTGATCTTAACATAAGTCATTGCAAAAAAAAGCCTTATGCTTCAGTTCAGTCAATCATGAGCAGCATTTCTTAAACAATGGGACGGAATAGAAAATATCAGAGTGCATTGCACATAGTAAGGGAAAATTTTGTTTTGTGAAACTTTCTTTTCCTCGGTTGTGTGCCTGGGGTAGGTGTACTTTTACTGTTGGTTGCAGTTAAAAAAAAAAAAAAAAAAAGATGGGGCACCTGGGTGGCTCAGTCATTAAGCGTCTGCCTTTGGCTCAGGTCATGATCCCAGGGTCCTGGGATCGAGCCCCACATCAGGTTCCCTGCTCGCCGGGAAGCCTGCTTCTCCCTCTCCCACTCCCCCTGCTTATGTTCCCTCTCTCGGTGTGTCTTTCTCTGTCAAATAAATAAATAAAATCTTAAAAAAAAAAAAAGTTAAGCGTAGAAGAAATTTATATCTTCAAATACTTATACAATAAAACAAAGATCTAAAGTCAATGATCTTAGCTTCTACCTTAAGCTAGAAAAGGAATAGTAAACTTGTAAGTAGAAGATAAAATGAATAATGTTAAGAGTAGAAATCAATAAAATTAAAAGTGGAGAAAAGCAATAAAACCAAAACTGACTGGCTGAAAAGATCAATAAAATTGCTTAACCTGGGGTGCCTGGATGGCTGTTGGTTAAGCTTCTTCCCCGGCTCAGGTCATGATCCCAGGGTCCTGGGATTGAGCCCCACATCAGGCTCCCTGCTCAGTGGGGAGCCCGCTTCTCCCTTTCCCTCTCTCCCCTCCCCCCTTCCCCACTTGTGCTCTCTCACTCTCTCTCACTTTTACGCTTTCTCAAATAAATAAAACCTTTAAAAAAAATTGCTAAGCCTTTGGGGTGCCTGGGTGGCTCAGTTGGTTGAGCACCCGACTCTTGGTTTCTGCTCATATCCTGATCTCAGGGTTGTGGGATTGAGCCCTGCATCAGGCTCCACACTCAGGGGTAGTCTGCTTGAGATTATCTCCCTCTCCCCCTCTCAAATAAATAATCTTTTTAAAAAAATGGCTAAACCTTTATACTGAGCAAGATAAAAACAACATAAATTACCAATATCAGTAATGAGAAAGAGATTATTAATACAGATAATGCATATATTAAAAGGATAATAAGGGACTACTATGAACAATTCTGTGCCCACAAATTGAACAACTTGGGTGAAAAGCACAAATTCACTGAAAAACACAAATCACCAAAATTGATTTAAGAAGAAATAGAAAACCTAGGAGCGCCTGGGTGGCTCAGTCTGTTAAATGTCTGCCTTTGGCTCAGGTTATGATCTCAGGGTCCTGGGATCGAGCCCTGCATCCAGCTCCCTGCTCTGTGGGGAGCCTGCTTCTCTCTCTCCCGCTCCCCCTGCTTGTGTTCTCTCTTTTTCTCTCTCTGTCAAATAAAGTCTTTTAAAAAAATAAACAAATAAAACATAGAAAACCTGAATAGCCCTAAATCAATTAAACAAATGTATTCATAATTTGAAGCTTTCCCTAGAGCAAACTTCATACCCAGATAGTTTGGTGAATTTCCAAGGAAGCAATGTTAGTAATTCTTACAGGAAATAAAAAATGAGGTGTCACTTCTCAACTCATTTTATGAGGCCATAAATATGATATTACTCTGATACCAAAACTGGACAATAATATTGCAAGGAAAGAAAACTATACTCCAATATTCCTTGCAAACATAAATGCAAAAGTCCTTAACAAAATATTAGCAAATAGAATCTAGAAATATATAAAAAGGAAATACATCATGGCTAGATGGAGTTTATCCCAGGAATGCAAGTGTAGTTTAACATGAAAATACAATCCATGATATTGTTTTTAAAAGATTTTATTTATTTGACAGAGACACAGCGAGAGAGGGAACACAAGCAGGGAGGAGTGGGAGAGTGAGAAGCAGGCTCCCCCCTGAGCAAGGAGCCCGATGCGGGGCTCTATCCGAGGACCCTGGGATCATGACCTGAGCTGAAGGCAGACGCTTAACGACTGAGCCATCCAGGTGCCCCTAAATCCATGATATTAACAGAATAAAAGAGATAGATCACATTAATATCTCAATAGCTACTAAAAAATATTTTGGACAAATTATACATCAATTCATGGCAAGAAAAAAAACTTTCAACAAACTAGGATTAGGAAAGTACTCCTTTACCTAATAAGGTGCTTTTAAAAAAAACAAAGGTCTTAAACAAACAAAGGTCTAGGCAACAAAAGAAAAAAATAGACAAATTGGGCTTTGTGATAATTTAAAAAATTTGTGCATCAAAAGACACTATTAAGAGAGTAAAAAGGGGGCGCCTGGGTAGCTCAGTTGGTTGAGCGACTGCCTTCGGCTCAGGTCATGATCCTGGAGTCCCAGGATTGAGTCCCGCATCAGGCTCCCTGCTCAGGGAGGAGTCTGCTTCTCCCTCTGACCCTCCCCCTCTCATGCTCTCTCTCTCTCTCTCATTCTCGCTCTCAAATAAATAAATAAAATCTTTAAAAAAAAAAAAGAGAGTAAAAAGGCAACCCACAAAATGGGAGAATATATTTATAAATCATATATCTGATAAGGGATTC